AATTGTAATGTCTTGAACTATCCATCAATCTTTCTGTAAAAGTTATAGGAGGCTGCATTCTTTATATGCTATGAATAATGTAGCGGAGTTCAGATTTCATCAAATGCATGGAGTTTGCTCTAGTTTGTGATATAATTCAAAGTGAAACATAACCGTGCTGTCCTATATTTTAAGAAGCTTAAACTACTGTTCCCTTAAAATTTCAAATTATTCATGTAGAAGAAGAAATTAATAAATAAAAAATTATTTCATCAACATCAGTTTTCAAGTCTCTCATTCGACTTTATTTTTTGTGATCATCCATGTTCAAAATTAATAGTTGGCATGAGAATGAGCTGTTTGGAGCAGAATTCATCCTCGTCTGGGTTCATAGTGGACTTTTAGTTTTTCCCCCTTCTTGAAATGCACCCAGATGTCCCTATCGATAGTTTTGCTATGTTACCTGTGCATACTGTTTGTTCTATTTCGCATCACTCTGACAAGGGTATTCTTCTCATAAACAGAACCATATAACACATATATTGGACATAAAGATGCCACAAGGGATTATAATTTTACGATAATTTCTTTTTGGTATGCAGGAATTAAGAAGATTTCCAACACTTCAATCTGACATAGCAGCTGCAGCCAATGAAGCATTGGAAAGATTTCGAGAAGAAAGTAGGAAGACAGTTCTGCGGCTGGTTGATATGGAGTCTAGCTATTTAACAGCAGAATTTTTCCGGAAGATTCATCATCTTGAACCAGAAAAAAATCCTAATAGTAATCGGAATGGCCAGGAGAGTTTCACAGATAATCACCTCAGGAGGATTGGTATGCCATTTCCCACAAGCCTTCTCTTCAAGTGCATCACATGTTTATATTAAGTAATTTAGGACTTGGAATATCTCCTGTTATCTATAATGTATTTTTCTTGAGCTCTTTATCCTATAAATTTAAGAATTTGGTGCTTTGAAATTCTGTTGCTCTAGGGTCTTGCTGAGCTTGGATTTAAATTCATGATTTTATTGACATGGAAGTTGTTGAACCCGACTTTAGGCTAACAAGATGCCTAAAGGTTTGGTTGTCGATAGAGTACAATGGTGTCATGTAATTCATGTAGCTAACCCCATCACAGATAATCACAATGGGATAAGGATTATTGTTGTTGTTGGGGAGGAATAGATTTTTGGTTCAGTAAATTTACTTTGTTCCTTGTTTCAGGATCAAATGTTAGCGCCTACATCAACATGGTTTGTGATACCCTAAGAAATTCCATACCAAAGGCTGTGGTTTATTGCCAAGTAAGGGAGGCTAAGAGATCATTGCTTAACCACTTTTATGTTCAAGTTGGAAAGAAAGAGGTACGATATGATATCCCCTAGTTAATGTGTGTGCATTTATACATAAACTCTACTTCCTTCTCTAAATCAGTTTTACATGGTCAAGAAAAAATCGAGTTTCATTGTTGGCAATACTGTACCTAATTTACAAGGCTTTCATTGTGTAGTGTCCACAGAAAACTTATTGGATTCCCTGGTCTCGTTGACCTTGATTGTGGTGCAAACCATGGGGTTTATGTTTTAAGATGTTAAACATAATGAATCATACGTCACTAAATTGTTAGATTAAACTTTTGAATTTATTCAGACAAGAATGAGAAAGGATACATGCCTAAAAGTTGGGGATAACCATAATTTCATCTTTTTGTAGTGATTGTGACTGTTCCACCCTATACCTTTTTTTTTTTTTAAATTTTCAGGTAGTTTGGATCTTTTTGCTTCTTCTATATGTTGGAGTGTTGGCAAACTCTTATATCTGCCATGTCCACTTAATATAATTTCCCTTTTCTTTTGTTCCTATGCCTACGATTGATCTAGGAATGCATGTGAAGTAACTACGATTGAGTGAAGTCATCTTACTGCCTCCATTTGGCAATTAAAATGAAGTTGAGAGGATTTTGTTCATACCTGAACCCAAAGGCTTTCGAATGAGGTTCTAACAAGATTATATTAAAAACTATTTATAGGCCTTTGATCGACAGATTTGTTGAAGTGAAGTATAATCCTTGGCTGCAAATAAGTTCACACATCAATCAAGTTATCAGCACGTCTGAACACAGGCTCTTGTAGCAGGGTCTTCATGGGCCTTTACTTAACGGTTTTTTAGAAGTGAAATTATCCCTGATCGGAAATAAGTTCACATGGCTCTCAAGTTATGCTCTCCTTTAGATTCATTTTTCACGAGTGTTCTGGACGCTTGCAAGACCCAAACCGTTCATATGGATATGGAAGTATTAAGTATATGGAAGTTTTTCTTCCTATATTCTCTACCCCTTTTTTCTTCCTTATCTAAAGGAAGCCTGAAACTGAAAACAGTAGCTCAGTTTGCTTTCCGATCCATCACTTTCTAGGCTACTTAGTGAATAATTAGGCTATCATAACAATGACAGGTGAAGCTGGTTGCTTAACTTACTAGTATTGTTTAATCAAGATAGACAGGCGTAGTGCCAGACATTTTTTCTGATTGCAGGCATGATATTTGATGGAAGTTTATGTGGCGAAATCTGATATGTAAGTCATAAATAATCAAGAGGGTTAGCGGGGGTTGGGAGTTATGACCGTTTGGCATATTGGTATAAACAAGGCTTAGCCTAGATATGTGTATGCTATGCTTATTTTCAATTGAGAAGTATTATTCAGCCTACTCTTTCTCTGTTTCTCTTTCTCTTCTACCTCCCTCTCTCTCTTCTCTCTCTCTCTGTCCTTCTACCATAACAAGAACATTTTATGGTCCATAATATCATGTTGTGTCGTTATCTTGCAGAAGGAGCAATTGGGGGCCATGCTGGATGAAGACCCAGCACTTATGGAAAGGAGAACACAAATAGCTAAGAGGCTTGAATTGTACAAACAGGCGAGGGATGATATCGATGCTGTAGCTTGGAAATAATGATTATAAAGGCCTAATTTTTTTTTTTTCTCTCATCTACCCTATGAGAAAGATGTGTCACCCATAGACTTCAATTTTTTTTTTTTTACTATCATCATTATTATTTTCTGTTTGTAATCCAAAAACAGAACAGTCTATGGCTGCTGCAAGTCGTATTTGTGCTTGCATATAATTCCTCTGCCCTTGCTTGTATAAAGATACTTCAAAGTATAGTGTTGCGATCTTGTGGAACCAACGAGTTGGTTCTGTGTGATTTTCTCTACCATGTTTATTATTTGCAATTTTTATTTTTTTAACAAGTCACTCGTGTTTCACTGTTCTGCATTGTCATGACCTAGAATTCTAAGTATCAATATTTATCTTTTAAAGTAGCATAGACCTCATGACCTAGATATCAACTTTATCCTACTCTTGAAGGTTGGAGTAAACTAGTCTTCAAAATGCCACCGTGCTTTCAATTTGATTATCTAATTAAATATTTTATATCGAACTAGTGTTTTCACACAATTAAAAGAATCGATTCAGTTACCCGTTTCTCACGAGTTTGGGCTAATTTTGTGCAGCATCATGCCATGAATCGCATCACTCATGAAAATGACTAGGTTTTCTTTTTTCTTTTTCCCGGTAAAAATGAAAATGACTAATGTTAATATGCAATTTATCTAACTTATAATGAAAAATACATTTATCAGAATTCTGGTTACTGCAAACGTTAAGCAGAAATGCATGAAGAGTTGACAGTAAAAGAATAATAGAGTCCAAAGACATACATATCATTAGTCCTCTGGTTTCGTTGAATACGATGGTCGCAATGCAGGCAAGGTGAGGGAGCTCCTTTTTTTCTTTTTTAATCGTTTGCGAGGGATGAGAGAGTGGGTTGTCAGATCTGATTTCAATGTTAGTTTAGTTTTTTATATGGCTGAACGTTGCTGTGATTCTGGTCAGGCCTTAGCGAGATACAAGGGAGTACTACAAAACTGAATGTTGTTGCAATTCTTAATTTCATAAATCCATAATTCTTGCTAAAATGTAGGATCTAAGTTAATCCTTATTTTAAAATTGGACAATATGGCTTTGTTATAGTTATAAATAAATTAATACGTTAAAATATGAGACAGTTCTGTTGAAAAAAAAATACAGGTATTAAAAATAAACTGGGAAAAAATATGGTAGTGAATTTGAGGTTGGTATATATATGATTATTAAATTGTTTTATAAACTTTTCTCATTTTATTTTTTTACAAATAAAATATAGAAATATCTAAAAAAATATTTTTGTTTTCTTTTTTTAATCTTAAAACGTACTACATTTAGTTATTAAAAGTTATCACTACCAAGCACCAACCTACATTGTTATTGTCTGTTGCCACCCACCATCATTTGTTGCCACCAGCAATCATCAGTGATCCCTCCGATCATCCCCATCAGCACCACCGGTCATCACCCTTTGTCATTACCATTGGCCATCACCCATCATGGTCAATTGCCCTCATTGGCCATCGCTTTTATTTTTTAAATGAGTTTTTTTTTTAACTCAAACTGTTTTTAAATTAATATAAAGAAATACATTTTTCTTTTGTTTTATTTGAAAAAAACAAGTTCTAAAATTAGTTTGCAACATAGTTTTTAAAAATGATAAATGAGAATAAAATAAACCAAGACCATAGTTTTTGAAAATTACACTATTTAGAGTATGTTTAATGTTCAGTTAGTGAACTAGACTTCAATAAGCAATAGCCGTGACTTCATCAATCTCACTCCAATGGATCGACATAAGAAGATACTAAAATGGTAAGACTAACTTGAGAAAATAATTGGTAAAAGGTAGTAAGTAATAAAGCAAGCACGGCAAGAGAAAATCTACACATCAAGAATTTTTTGTGCATTAAACCAGTGCCTTCACGTACGCATTGAATCTTATACAATGTGAACACTCTTCTATTCGGATTGCCCACTCATGAATTAATTGAAGTTCAAAATCTTATCATGCTTGATCAGATTGTAACTTTAGATCACACGTCCCAAAGCTAACAATTGCAAGGACTAGCTTGTTCAACAAAATCATCATATGGAAGTGGAAATCATGATTTTATATAACCCCCACTTTGGGTGTAAAAATTTGCTTCTGGCTAAGAGCCAATACAATAGGAGAAACAAGCTTAGTGCAATTAACTAAATTTTCCCTTTGTACAGTCCAGCTATGACCTTTGTACCACCCCCCAAAAAAAAAAGGGAGATTAACTAAAGCTCCTCGTTTAGGTATACAATTAAGAAATTTAGTTTCATCATTCAATCCAGATGGTCATGGCACTATCTCTAAAAGATTCATGGTCTAAACAAACCGGTCTAGCCCTTGAGGGTGGCAGAATTTTGTCTTCACCAGAAAGTGTTGTAATACAAGCTCTTATTTACTAAAGATAATTCGGTTTACAACATCAACAGGCAAAGCATAAGCTGGATCTATTGGTTTCACTCCTGGATATTCAAGTAGTGAAAGTCCTGCAAGAACAAACAGAACAACTTGAGCATCCTAAGCAAGCTTTTCAATGAAAAGGAATTACAAAAAGCCGGTGAATAAGAAAATGAACAATTGGCAAGAAGAGGAAGTATCTCTTGAAGAATTTGGGTTGAAGGTAAGAAAAAAAGAAAAAGAATTTGGGTTTGATCCCTTTCAGAGCATGCTAGAATTAAAAACCAAAATAACAAAAATGAAAAAGTAAACGAACTACAGCAGAAAGTTGAGAATATGCATAGTTAGTGAAGTTGAGGATCTAAGTTAGTGGTCATCAATACCCCCATACATCGGAAAATCTCAACACACAACATTGGAGAAGTGGGGAAGATCCCATACCAGTAATGGCAAAAAGCCCAAACAACAATATTTCCCCGCAGGAAAAATAATGAATATTATCTCAAATAACTCAAGGGACGAACACAAGATAGATACAGAAAAGTGGAGGTGAATTACCCGCCACCCCAAAATATGTATGGAAAATATCCACAGCATCATCAGGTCTGTCTGAAATTCCTCCATTTTCGGTGTCCTTCAAATTCAACAAAGAATACTTTAGAGAAACTATACTGAAATTAATACTTCCAGATAACAATCAGGAACATACTGATTTATAATCACAATAAGGCAACTAAGCTATAATAACCTGGCAGTCTAAGATAAACTTTATAAGCTTCTCCTTATTAATCCAATGAACCCTATCAATCATGATCAAGCTAGAAAGAACCCACCATGAATAGCAAACCTGACATGATCCAAAAGCACGTCAGAGGAATAAAAAAATGTCCACAGGGGCACTTATAGTGATGCATCCAACTTTTAGGAGGTTTACTCACATCAGGTAGTTTCTCAGGACGGCCATTTAAACCTCCAGATTTTACTTGTCGCTCACATAACCACCAACCGAGTAGGTCCTTGTCAACAAGATCCAGTGAACCCGTTATAGCAAGAGCTGCAACACAACAGAAGACTGACAGAAGGCAGATATCATACTGAGCTTCAAATCTACAACTCATTTTAAGGGACATTTATTTCAGTTTTCTTCATGAAAAAAATCATTTTTAAAAAAGAATAATAGCTTTTGAGAAATAATAGGATTCCAGGATATTTGCTTAAACTTTAAAAATAATCAGAATCTGGAAAAAAAAAAAAAGGATAACATATTTCTTATTATTTTGAGGAGTTGCCCTAATTTTCTTTTGAAAATAACAAACAGTAAATAAAAGAGAATGTTCATAAAAATACACACAAAAATATCATAAAATCTAAATCTGAGAATTCTTAAATAATAAATAATCTTTTTAAGATTGTAACCGAACACAAAATAATTTCTGTTTTTCATAAAATCTTTAAAATATCTGAAAATCACTTGTTTGTCAAGACTCTAATTCATTCATTATAATGATACTATTCCATTGAAGGCTTGGCTAGAGTACATAAATTACATCAGAAGTAATACTGTAATACTACAAACAACGTATCTAAGAGCTTTGCGCCCCCGCTAATCACAGTAATATGTCTAATATTTGCATAACACTATAACCAATCATTAATCAGACCATGCCAAAGCCTATGAAAAGCACCAAGGAAAGAATTGAGCACAAATCAGGATATTCAAATAAAAGTAATAACTGACATGTTACATACTTTGCCCAGCATGAGATTCCCCACCAGGTGTACAACCAAAACCACCGTCCATATTTTTGCAGCTTAAAATGTATTTCATGGCCTTCTCCACATTAATTTTATCCAAATGATGTAATATTGATAGACAATTAATAGCAATATATGAGAACCTGAGACAGAATTTCATAAACTTAAATCAGGAAGACAAAACACACAAAAAAGGCTCAACCTTTCAAGGTATCATCAAATTGGGATGGGTAAATTACCGTGTATCAACTTCACCCCAAATATCCCCTGAAAAGGATCCATCTTCATTTTGCAGGTTAACAATATCTAACATAATTGTTAAGAAACATAGGATCCAACATGCTTTCTGGCCAAAGAAATATTTCACTGATGGTGACTTGAAATATTGTGCATCAAATACTTTACAAGAAACAAACGTTCGTCTGCACAACAAAGGATTTGAGAATGCAAAGCAACTCAAGAGTCTAACAATTTATATGCTAGAGGATACATTTTGTCACCTTATCCACATCAATAATGTCAAGCTTGTTGAAGAGAGCCAAAACCTGAACAGCACTTAGCGTATACAGAATGTGCGGGTCATGTCCAACGTTACCACTAAATCCCCCTAAATATCACCAAGCATCTCATCAAATGTAAAATGTGTCAAAAAAAAAAAAAACCTGAACCAAGAAAGTAAGAGATCAAATAAATTTTAATAAACCTGACTCATGTTGACAACTCATGACCCATGAAACAACCTCATTTACATCCACAGTGTCTAGCTTTCCCAGAAGATCAAGGGTAGTCAGTCCCCAGTATGCCCCATTCATTCTTAGATGCTCCATCAACACAGACTCAAAGTCGTCTTTCCTCTGAGAACTCAGAAACGAAAAGGATAGAGGAAAATTGATAACTCGTAAGACATTAAGATCTTAAGCATAAAGTAAGTTTGAAAGTAGCCAGCCACTCAAGATTACATATTTTCTTCAGTTATAATGCATAAATAGGAAGCGCACCTTTTCAGCAGCTAAAACATATTGAACATGTTTCTCAGCCACCAGCTCCCCCATCTTCCAAGTAAACTGCACCAACAAATTAAGAATGATCAAATCAGAGATTACAGTGCTTCATTAAACCCATAAGTTCCTTATTTTATAAGAAACATGTGAGAAGGTATGACAAGATTCTGATACCACTACTATTGTAGATATTTATGTTTTGCTGACAGGCAAATACCCTGCACTGAATGATCTATTTGTAGCTCTAATACATTTCCATAAATTCATCAAAGTTACATAGCAAGTAATATCGTCAAAACAGGCCATCTCAAACCAGCCAGTCTGGGCCAGGCCATTAATAAACAGGCTGCTTGTTCTGTGTTTGTATCCATGCCAGCTGGCTAATGAGCCAGCACATCATCCAATTGATTAATTATTCAATATTTATTCATCTGACCAAACAAAAACACATTAAACTCCAATAAAACAATATAACACAATAATCATTAACCTGAGCTGTGTCAACAGTAAAACCAAGTGGCACATCTGAAACCATGGGTGTGACCCAAATGGCACAAAAAAGGAAAAAAAAGAACATTGATATTCAACATTAAAATTTTAATTATTATAGAAGTGAAAATTTTGGAAAAACATTTTCTGAGGGCAATAGATAGTCTACAAAAAGCATATGTGGGCCCGGGAGTTAGTTGAGTGCGGGGCAATATATTAGGCACCTCACAACACCTATTGCTAACCAATAATATTTCAATAAATTATATTCACCATATTATATAATTCTCAAACTAGAATCTGGAAGCAAAAAGAGTGTGAATTCAGCCAAGACTCGTGTCAATAATCATCAAGGATTTAACAAGATTCAAGTTTATGCATGAAAACTATAGATGACTATCTAATCCTATTCCCTGCCTTGCATAACCCAACATGCCAAAATAAGGATGACTGTATGCTGAATTATCAGTACTGAAAATTAAAGTGGGGGCAGCATGAATTTTAAACACTAACACAAGATACAAAGAAAATTTTCAGCATACCCAAAAGACCAATTTGGGCAGAATAATTCGTCATTAAAACTTCGCGCATGATGGAACCAAGGCTGTATTTGTACTGTTTGTGAATTATAGTTCAGTTTAACCTCAATCCAGAGCCAGGGATGAACGAAGGTTAAACCTCAAGTAATACTAACCAGTCATAGCAAATAAAGGGGGGAAAAATACAGAAAACAAACCCACAGAGATCTTCTAGCTTTTAAGAGGCTAGAGTCTCTCCCGCACAATATATGCCAGATGCCTTGCGGTCTCTCCTATTCTCACACCTCACACAAGTCAGGCTTGGCCATAGGCCGACCTATATTACACCCAGTGGGGGCACTGCTTCACTGACATCTTTGAAATATGCAGAGTTGATATCATATTTTTAATTTTTGTTTCAGATGCTTTAAAGAAGACGCCTTGGTAAGACAATTGATTCAGGCAACTTCTCCAAGCCACTGAAGAATAACAATGATAACATTCTTGCAATTTATGATCTTCCAATCAATTAAAATGAAAAAAAAATTAAAACAAAAACAGTGCGACGGCGTCCGACGCAGGGTTGACGATGAACAGATGATGACGCATGGAACAAATTCAAATCTAGATTCAGAGCCAGATTGAACAATTCAATCTCGTACCTAGTTTATTAGTTGCCGGAGAACAACCACTGACAGCGGTGGACGGCGAGCTCGACCAAGTGTGTACTGCCTAACAAAATGGAAATAGGACTCTTCTACTCCACAAGACCAGTGAGGCGAGTGTGTTTTGTTGGGGTTATAAAATTAATTCATTTTCTATGAGCGTCCTATTTAGTTTATCGGATCGATCGCAGTGGTAAAGTGCGCTCCCAAGTGGCGAGGGTAGGGTACCAAAAGCAGAGGAAGCTGTTGGTCCCGTGGAGGAATGCATAGGCCGGAGCGAAGCCGTCGGTTTTGAGCAGTATTTAGCATTGTCATCTATCATCTATCATTATCATTAAATCCGGTAATTCAACCGGGCCAAATTTATTTGAGTCTCAATTTAAATCGGATTCAATTAAATTGAGTTTAAAATATTTTACTTTCAAAAAAAAAAAAAACTACATAGTCAAATACGGCACAAACTTTTCTTGGTCGGATTGATCCATTGAACTTGACCAAAATCATTAATTCCACATACATATAAACTTAAAATTCCAACAATCAAACTTATTCGAATCAAATTATATTTTATCTTTTTAAAAAAACTCATAAATTCAAACTTGACTTTAACTTTTTTAAAGTTATTTCGAGTTTAACCCAAATTACCGACTTTAATTTATCTCAATGGTTTTATAATTTTATTGAATTTTATTTTTAGTTGTATAGTTTTTTCCTAATGTTTTCAATATTTTTAGTTTTAGAAAGATTGAATGACCTTTACTTTTCAAGATCTTATAGTTTTCATTTCTTTAATATTTTTAGTCCTTACAGAAACATTAGAAAAAAAATTATAGGGATAACAAATAAAATTATAGAGAACTAAAAATTATATTTTCAATTAAATCAAGATTGATTTCATTTCCGTTCACTCACAGCAAAAAATTAGAAAATTAAAATCCAGTTGAACTGGATATGTTTTTTAAAATCTTTTAATTTATATTTTTAAAATATAATTTATATATATTTATATCTAATAAGCATTATGAAATATAAAAATATAAAAAATATATACTCCATCCGTTCAAAAATATAAAGTATTTTTAATTGAATCTCACCTCTTAATAAAGTAGTTACCTACTTTCAAACTAATCATATATTTTCATATTTATCCCTATTAAACACTCTATAATAAATATAAAATTACTATCAATAGGGGCATTTTAAAAAAAATAATGATTACACCTCAAAAAATTAAAAATATTTTACATTTTTTAACATTCAATTTCTCAAAAAATGTCTTATATTTTTTAACGGAGGGAGTATGAATTATGTGAGTGTATTTTAAAATTATAAATTATAAAATAAGTATACATATTTTGGATGAAAATGATATAATATTGATAGACGTTATCTTTTTTTATTATATATTATTTTGTTTGAAATTTAAATATTTATTTTTATTACTATATATGATTATTTCTTTTTATTTTGAACATATAATATTTAAAATATATTAATTTATTCATAATTGATTAGACCACAATCTGATTATTAAACAGTGAACAAATTCATTAATTGGTTCAGGTTTCATTTTCATAACATTGGTATTCACATTGCTTCCTGTCCCAACAATAGATTTGCACTGAATTGGCTATCCTTAATGTGCCAAATGTGCCACAGAAGTCGTATTGTCCTTTTAATATTTTTGAGAATTGGCACTTAACCAAATCTAGAGATCTCAAACCAGATCTAGTGGTTGCTTCTCCCATGTTGCTCAGCGAGAGACCAAAAATTAGAAGCTAAAGGCTGTGCGATTTGAGGTGACAGCGACGGAACTATCTGGCTGGGAGGTGCAATTCGCCGTGGGAGCTATTTATGCCGTCGATGGAGAAGGCGAGGAAGGAAAGAAGAGAAGAGGATAATATTTGTTGTCAACATAAATTTTTAACAGACATTTTAAACTGCAAACTTCATTTCGAATGAACCTCTTCTGATTGTTAGAACTCAGAAACGGCCGGCTCGATTCATGTGGATTCAAGCCCTTACACCCGATTTTTTCCATGATTGACAAGAAACGTTCAATAGTTTAAAGTTTAAAAAAAAAAGTTAAAAATACTTATAATATTATTAAAATTAGTGTAAAAATGATCAAATAATTAATTTGCCCTGACATCATTAATTTTCAATATTAAATGCTGATTATGTTAGTCATATGTTAATTTTTACTGACGGAACTAAAATGAGGGAGCAAAAATATTCATAAAATCGTCGCCCAGTACCATCAAGTAACTTAAAGTGAGAAAAAAGATAAAAATACCCATAATGCTACTTTTGTAAGTGCAATAGTGATCAATTTATCAAATTCCTTAAATGCTAACTGTTTAGCTGACATAAGTAAAAGTCGACTATTTTTTCACTAACATGGACAAAAGTTATTCTCAAGTAGAATTACACAAAGATTGATTGGTCATTGTATGAATGCCATGTAAGACAATATCATTCTGACCGAACAATAAATTAAATTGCTCACTTTTTTGTAGAGTCGGTAATTCGGGCCAAGCCCGACGGGCTAGCCCGAATTGGCCCAAAAAATTTTAGAGCCGGGCTTAAAAAAAAGGTATTTTTTTATGTTCGGGCCTATTCGGGCTGGCCCAAATAGGCCCGAATACCCGAATAAAAAAATTATATTTTTAAAAAACATACATAATATAATAAATATTAATTAATTCTTTAAGTTTTAGATCATTTTATACTAAAATATCATATATTTGAGTCCTAGATATCATTTAAGTATTAAAAAAATATATTTTATATTTTTTTATAAAATAAAATAATTAATTTCAAAGTAAAAAAATAATTAAAAATAATTTTAAAAATTAAATTCGGGTATTCGGGCCGCTCGAAACCCGAAAGAATTCGGGCCGGACTTGACTATTCGGGCTTTTCTAGGAGTCGGACCTGTTCAGGTTCGGGCTTATTCGGGCCCAGCCTATTCAGGCCGAGCCCGAATAAGCCCGGCCTGCCCGAATTTTCGGCTCTACTTTTTTGTAGCAATATTAAAAACCATTTGAGGATTTTGAACCTCATCATAAACAAAATTGTTTAAGGTTATGCTAATATTCTTAAGATAAGTGGTATAAGAAGTGTGTGTGGTCAAGAAAGTGTCATAGACAATCTCCTTCATAAAGCGTGTGTGTTCTTTGTTTTTTATAGTGAGCCACAGCCTCTTCATTCTGTACAACCTATTTCACTATATTGAATCTTAAATTTTGCAAATAAGAAAAATGAGTGGAGAGAGAGAAAGGAAGAAAAGTGAGATATGTGGGGATAGAAAGAAAATACGTGACATGAATTTTGACAAATTAATCACTATTATGCCTATTAAAATAATATTATGGATATTCCTGCTCTTTTTCTTATTTTAGACTATTGAATGCTTCTGATTAATGAATTTATGGGTATTTTTGCCTTATTTTAAATCCACCACAGCAACGATTGACACATGATAAGAATAGTTAGCATTTAATATTAAAAACTAATAGTGTTAGGAAAAATTACTTATTTGTTTACTTTTGCACAATCTTAATAACATTATTGATATTTTTACTCATTTTTTTACTTTAAATTACTTTAACTCTTTTCATATTTTACCCCTTTTTCAAGACTGTTGTGAACTTTTTAATTTTATTTGATTTAAGGGGGAGGGGGAGGGGGACCTTGGATGGGACGAGGGAGAGCCCCTCCCCTTGTTTGGATGGGAGGAGGGAAAGCTCCTCTCCCCTTATTTGATAAGGTAGAGGCCATTTCCTTCCCTCCAAGGGATCCCCTCCTTGGATGGGATGAGGGAGAGCCCCTCCCCTTGTTTGGATGGGACGAGGGAGAGCCCCTCCTCTTGTTTGATAAGGTGGAGGCCATTCTCTTCCCTCTAGCTAAATATAAGGTTTGAATAAAATTAAATATTATAAATTAATTAAAATAAAACAAATTAAGATTCTTATAATTTTTAAAAAATTTAAATAAAATTAAACATTATAAATTGTTTTCCAGTTGTTGGCTTTCAACATTTTTTCCAGTTGAATCCCTCCTTAGCTCAAGTAACACACCTCTTAAGAAATGAAAAGAAGCTTCCACCAAATATCTTTTGCTCAGATCACAATTGGCAATATCAATAACAGAACGGTAAGAATAGCGATTTCAAAACGAAACCCATCAAGATTTCTTAAATAATGATCACTTTTAAATGTTTTATCAATATAAAAAAACTTTAAAATTTATTAATTTTATTTTAAAATTTAATAAATTTTTAATTTTATTTCTATTAAATATAGACATTTTAATATATTTTTTCTTTCACATTTAATAAAAGATAAAAAAATTTATAATAAAAATTTAATAACGTAATTTATAAATATGATTAAGCTTAGCATTAAACAAGAAACGGATTATCAATAAATAAAGAAAACCCAGCCTTTGAATATGGAAAATACCCTGTGAAGGTCAAAACAAATTCAACAAAAGAAGCAGAAAAACCAAGTGGAATCCATCGCTACCTTAATATTCCGCCCTTTGGATTATTGAGAAAGCCCCACAATGCTATCGATTTCAAACCTATCAAATCATAAATTTTGATCAAAACACAAAGCTTTCTCATAAAAACCAAACAACAGGGAGAAAAAAAACCCAGAAAATACCTTAGAAGAGAATCGCCGGAAAAGAAAGCGGATTGCAGATGAAGGAGACGCAAAGATCGTGCTGAGAGAGAGGCGAGGCTGAGATGAAGAGGAATCGCAAGCCTGCAGAGTTGCAGCTGAGGTTTCCTCTACAGTCATGAGTCCACACGGTGGGTTTTGAAAAGGTCAAAAGAAACCAGATTGGAAAGGCGACCCCGGTTTGAGCCCATCTTTAAAATCTATTGAGGCTGGACTCTAAAACTTAATTTTTTAAAAAGTAACTTTTTAAACTCAAATTCTCATAAAAACAGATTTAAATAAGTAGCCTTCAAAATCCAACCCTTCTTCTTAATGAGCTAATGAATTGAGTCATTGTCACTCCCATACCCATTTCATTCCAGCTCATCGCACTAATATGGTCGTAATGTTAATGGAGAGAATGACAGTATAAAAAAAAAAATCTCATAAGAATACTGCACGATAAAATCTCTTCGCAACTAAATTCTTAAATTCATTATTCCTTTCATGTTTTCGTATTAATTTTTTTTAAAAAAACGTTTTTTATTAATCTTCTTGCGAGCCCTTGTCATTTCTAGCATCATAAAATATCAAATTGCTCCACGAGACTACCCAAATAATGAACATAAAACTTGACATCGCAAAATGTTCATAACAATATTTTGAAAGGCGCTTCATCATTCTCACATGGGAATGAAAAACAAATATCAAATTGAACCTGGGAATATCATTTATCATCCTCGTTTTCAAAACTTGCGAGAAGAAAATTGGTGTTTAAAGTTGTTCCAAAGCCACAAGTCCAAAACCGAAGGCTGATACAATCCAATCTAGTTCATTCTCCTGATGAGCTCATTTATGTAATTCTCTCTGTTTCCAGCATCGCCTCCTTCAACATAATGGTTTCTCTTCTTCTTCAGTCCGCCTAAAGGTGCCTTGAGCTTAAATGGCCAAAGGAAGTTGTTGGCCTCCTTAAAGTGGGGGCCCACTGTCATGATCTCATGGATAAGATCCTCAGTGCAGATGATTCCATGCTTGCCCAGCGCCTAAGGAGTGAGTGATCATCACAGCAAGTAGCACCATGCAGTCATTACTCATTAGTTTCACATTTTATAGGTTCGCTCACAGCTAAAAAAACAAACAAACCTGCTCAATGATGGAGTTGTCAGTTAAAGCAATTCTCTGCTTGTTGACCTTACCATAACCCCTCTTGTAAACAAGTTCTCTAACACTCTTAAGATTTGGGTATCTGAAACAAGACGAGGTTTACTGTTATAGAACATAAACAACATCACAAGCAAACGTAAATCAGAGGAAATTTCCATACCCATAAGTCACATAAGGTTCGACTCTATGCAGCATGTTCATCGTGGCTTTGTTAACTTTAAGGAATACACCATTGAAGATCTGTTGCAGAAGTCAAATAAGGATGACTGCACTGGCTTTATACATTATCGATTTAACTGTAAGTAAAATTCCCTAGACATGATATTATAATCTTAGTACCAACAGAATACATGATTTCAAGATTCTCCTATTGTCTTCAATAGCTTAATTAAGGATTCCCTCAGGCATGGATTTTGAAATCTAGATGTTAACTAAATGCAGCATCACACAGCCAAAACATGTCCAATTGATCGATCACATAGACAGACAGCCAACCACTTCCCCATTACAACAAGTATTTTTACTTGTTCAAACTATGCTTCCACTAAAACTTGTGGTGAAACGAAAACATAAAATTGAGTAATGGAAAAATCAATTTCTCATTCTAAGACGATCATAGTACCTGTCTCAAACGCAAGAGCTGCAAGATCTTCCTAGTCTTTGGATGCATGGCATTGATACTGAAAAATCATAGTTTATTTGTGTAAGAAGAAGCAGAATACATAGGAACTTGAGATCCATTATGAATGAAACACATACCCTCGAATACGAATAATAAATAGAAGTTTAGCTTCTGGATCAACATAAAATCCACCCTTAAGCTTGGCCTCACGTTTCAATCTAATTAATTCCTTCTCCTAAACAACCAAATTTATGATGAAAGTAAGGGGAAAAATCAGGCACCACCATAAATTAGGACAATCAACCAAGAATAAAGGACTAGCGATATTTACTTGTTCCTGATACTCCTTGGCGTACAGCTTAGCTCTGTTGAAAATCAACTTACGGCTCTCTGCTCTCTTCTTCTTAGCAGCTTCAACATCCTGTTTTTTGGCCAGTGCCCATTCCTCTTCCCTCTTCCGCTTCTTCAAGACAGACTCTGGAACAATAGCCTTAACCTCCTCACCCATCTATGAAAGAAAATAAATATACGAAGTGTGATTACAATGAGATAATGAGGGCGATTCAGGCTAAAACGCTTATCATATGGGAAAATAAAGCAGACACTATCAGACTCGGACAAGATTATTCAGAAAATTTCAGTGGTCTTAACGAGGCGATACTCAATTTGTTTCAGACCAAAAACGGAAAATAATAGTTACATTGGTCCCCTACTCTAAAAAACTTGTAGAACCATCTAACTTCCCCTAAACTCGCTGAAAGCGGATCAAAATAATAGATAGAACCCATATAATGAAGGTAGAAAACAAACAAAACAAGTGTTAACAATGCCGATTTACTCGTTCAAGCTACGTAAAAGAAAGAAAAACTTGTTCACCAAAATATTCACCGTTCCTTCGAAAGTGAAATCTCTCTTAATGACCAAGCGAGAAATCAAATTTACAATGTAACAGCGTAATGCAATTAATTGACGAAACACATAAACTCGGTATCTAGAGAGTAGAATGAGGCAAAGAGCGGATCGTCAATGGATCACGGAAGCTCGAAAAGAGTATAATTTGCAGGCTACTCACCGAGTCTGTTCAAACGTGAAGTCAGGCGCAGAGGCTAGGGTTTAGGAGCGACAAGTGAATGAGGAGGATGCATCGGGTTTTTGTAAGGTTCCTCAGTTATGCATTTTTCTTGGTCCACAAATCTATGCCCTTTTGTAGGTTAAATTGGATGCGGATCTAATTTTTGAGCCCAAAACCAAGACATATGACAACTATTGCTATGGGCCCATTATGTTTAATGTAGAGTGATACTTTGAAGGTATCTTTTAGGAAAAAACACAGCTGAACATTTTTTTAATTATAAATTTAGTCCAAAACTTTAATTAAAAATAACTTAGGGCTTATTAGATAGCCTATTTTAAAAATATTTTTCTTTTCTCTAGAATAAAAGGATAAAAAAAATTTATTTGAAAATGTATTTTCAGAAAGTATTTTAAAGAATAAAAATAAAATATTATTTTAAAAAATAGAAAAATAGAAATATCTTTTAGGTATTCTAAGATTATTATTTTAGAGAATAAGAGAGAAGAAAAAAAAAATATCTAGGGCTTGTTTGGTTTCTGTTCTTAATTTTTGTTTTTAAAAACTACTTTGTAATATAGTTTTCAAAATTATTTTTAAAACAAAATAAAATAAAAATCTCTTGAGTTATGTCAATTAAAAGACAAACTGATAGTGATGGTTATAAACAGTTAATGATAGTGATTAAAAATAAAAATTGATTAAGATGACTATAATTTTTAATAATAAAATATAGTGTATTTTTAAAAACAAGAAAAACAAAACAAAAACAACTTAAAATTGTTTCTATTTTTTGTTTTTAAAAAGAAAAATAAAAATAGTTTTAAAAACAACTAAATAAAAAATACTTATCCAAAGAAATTTTTAAATTTTTATGTTTTTAAAAACAAAAAATAGTTTTTAAAAACTGAAAACAAACAATTCCCTATTTTTTATTATTTTTTTATTCTCAAAACATGTTTTACAAAAAATGAGTTCTCAAAATAATAAAATAAAAATAATTTCAAATATTCCCTTAATCTTTAAAGTTTATTGACTTGAAACAATTTATTCATTATAAATTTTTTATGCAGTACAAATCAATTTCTACAATTTTTTAACTAAATAAATTATGAAGCTTGAGTTGTACTAAATAAAAATTCATAATTAAATGGTTAGTTGGAAGAAAATTTAGGGATTCAAAATTATATTATTCCTAATTTTTAAATAATAATATTCGACGCGAGTATCATCTAATTTGGATCATATTATCAATTGAGCAAATAGAACACCTTAAAAGAAAACAGAGGGAGAGAGGGGATAGAATGACATGAGTAAGCCTAAAAGGATAAAAAAATGATTTTTTTTTCTTTAAATTTAAAAGTAATTTATAATTAATATATTAAAAAAGAAATTTATAATTTACCAGGAGGATTCAAATTCAAAAGTATATAACTTGTATTGTTGAACTTAAACTAGTTAGCCAAGAGAAAGGGAATTAACTTAATTGTAATCCTCAAAATAAATATATGCGGACATGGGATAAATTAACGAAGGTATGACTTCTATGCTTTTACTTAGAAGAAATAATAATAATAATAATAATAATAATAATAATAATAATAATAATAATAATAATTGTGAACAAAAATATAATAAATGTATTATACTCCCTCTGATCTTATTTATAAGTCATTTTTACTAATTTCATCAATACTAATATAACAAAAGTACGAGAAATAAAAATAAATGAAATTTCAAATATAATCCTTAAATAAAAAGTAAAAAGTAAACACATAATATAATATTATTTTTTTTATCTTTTTTTTATTAATTTTCAAAAATAATTTAAAAATTTTAATTTAAAACAAAAAAACTTTATCAATTAGTGATTTATAATGTAAACTAAATTATATTTTTAGAAAGTGATTAATATATAGGATCAAAAGAGTATATATTATTGTTATGCATTGTAATTCTGATTTTTTTATTTATGATTATTAAACGGAATTTTCTTTGACACCAAAAAACTTTATTTTAGTAATTAAACTTTAGTTATGGCTCCAAATAATTAAAATGAGACACACATCAAGTTAATTAACGCTTGACCTTTTTATACACATGACTCTGACTGTATCGTCCCCTACAATGGCGCGATCCGTTCTGAACAAATCACGTTGCATTGCTACGCTTACGCGGAGTTCCCCCCGTAAACTGACTGTAAAATGCCTCGCAAGCCACTTATTCAAAAACCACCAAAGAATAATCAGGTATTAGTTATTACACATTCATGATTATGTTCTGTTCTGTGCTCCACCATTTTCTCCTTCCCCAAACAACAATTCATAGTCATTCCTATCTTTTTCTCTCCCTCTCCAATTCTTCGTCGTCGTCGTATGCTGTGTCCCACATTTCGATCCTTCCTAGCTCCAACGAAAAGCGAACCCAATTATTTCCCACGAAACAAGCGCTGTTTTCTGATCTCTTGGAGAGTATAGTAATGTGGTTGTTGATGGCATCCTTAAACCCATACCATTAATTCTCTTTCTTTCATTTTCCTTCACTTTCTAGTTAGGCTGATTTACCCGGGAAATGACATGGAGAAACCCCAACTCAGTTTTGGGGTTTCTTTCATAATTTATCACCTTGTTTTGATGTTGTCTGTGGCAACTTTGGCTTTGTCTCAGAATGATGCCGTGGTGATGAACATTCTTAAAAAGGCGATCAATGCCCCACCTAGTCTCAGATGGACAGACACTGACATCTGCAAATGGCAACATGTGGATTGCAACTCTGGAAAACGTGTGATTTCCATACAGATCGGGAACATGAATTTGCAAGGTTCGCTTCCGAAAGAACTTGAGAACCTCTCAGAGTTGCAACGATTTGACTGTCCACAGAACGGTCTCACAGGTCCAGTTCCATATCTATCTAAAAACTTGCAAAGACTCGTGATCCGAGATAACAAGTTCAGCTCCATCCCTAATGATTTCTTCAAGGGGATGACAATGTTACAAGAAGTAAGAATTGGAAATAACCCATTTTCGCCATGGTCTATCCCGGATAGTCTTGAGGATTGTGCAGCACTCCAGACATTTGTAGCAACAAATGCAAGTTTGGTTGGAACAATCCCAGATTTTTTAGGTACCATGCCCGGTTTAGTTTCTTTACTCCTGAATTTTAACAGTCTTGAAGGTGGGTTGCCTACAACCTTTGCGAAGAGTTCAATGGAGGAACTTTTCTTGAATGCACAAAACGGTAATTATAAACTTAATGGCACGATTAATGTGCTGCAGAACATGACATCCTTAAAACAAGTTTGGCTTCATAGTAATTCATTTACGGGTCCAATACCAGACTTGTCAAACCATGATCAGTTGTCTGATGTGAGTTTAAGGGACAACCAATTGGCTTGCGCTGTCCCATCATCTCTCATGTCTCTCCCAAGTTTAAAAGTTGTGAATTTGACTAACAATTTTCTTCAAGGCCCCACCCCAGTATTCAAATCAGGTGTGATTGTTGATATGTCTGGGATTAATCGGTTCTGCACAAACTTCCCAAATCAGCCATGCAGTCCTCTTGTGAATGCTTTAGTCTCTGTTGTTGAACCCTTGGGATGTCCTGTGAAATTGGCTGATAATTGGAAGGGCAATGATCCCTGTAATGGTAGTTGGACAGGAATTGTGTGCGCTGGAGGTAATATTTCAATCATAAATTTTCAAAACATGGGCTTGTCAGGCACAATTTCCCCTAATTTTGCCTCCCTTGCTTCTGTCACAGAATTGCTTCTTGCTAATAATTCACTCACAGGTCCAATACCAAAGGAGCTCACTACCATGCCTAACCTAGAAAAGCTAGATGTTTCAAATAACAACTTAGGTGGTTACGTGCCATCTTTTCGTCAACAAGGTTTGGATCTTAAAATAGATGGGAATCCTGATCTTGGAAAACCTCTTAAATCATCTAGCTCAGATTCTGGAGGTAATGGTGGCCGTGAGTCTAACAAACTCACTGCACTCATTGTCAGCATTGTAGTTGGCTTAGCAATTTTACTTGCTATAGCATCTCTGGTGTTCTTTAGGCGTTTTAAAAAGCGTAATTATTCAGGCATCTTTGGAGGTCTGATAGCAAAGCTAATTGGTCCTCGTAATGGTGGAGGTGGAAAAGTCACGAAGAATGTTAATGTTTCAGTAGGTGCTAGTGCTACTGGTCAGGGTAATGTCCAAGGTATGATAATTCCAATTCAAGTTCTAAGAGAAGTCACTAACAATTTCAATAATGCAAACATACTAGGAAAGGGTGGTTTTGGCACTGTGTACAAAGGTGAACTGTATGATGGAAAAAAGATAGCAGTGAAAAGAATGGAATCAGGATTGTTAATGGAGAAGGGACTGAGTGAATTCAGAGCTGAAATTGCAGTACTTACACAAGCTCGACACAAACATTTGGTGGCACTTCAGGGATATTGCTTGGATGGTAATGAGAAGCTTCTTGTGTATGAATACATGCCCCAAGGAGCACTTAGTAAGCATTTGTTTAGCTGGAAAGAGAATGGATTGGAACCTTTGGATTGGACAACAAGACTAAGCATTGCCTTGGATGTTGCTAGAGGTGTTGAGTATCTTCATGCATTGGCTCAACAAAGCTTTATTCATCGAGATCTTAAGCCATCCAACATTCTTCTTGGGGATGATATGCGAGCTAAAGTATCAGACTTCGGATTAGTCCGGCTTGCTCCTGAAGGAAGACATTCAGTTGAAACTCGGCTTGCTGGAACTTTTGGATATCTTGCACCTGAGTATGCAGGTGAGTTGGATTTAAGATTCTTCTAAAATTGTGTTATCTATATCTTCCTTCAACTTAATAAGAGTTATTTGCAGAAACCTTTAAACTCAGAAAGCAAAATACACCCTTCAACTTTAAGATATGTAAAAGCAATTTTTTTTTATACATGCAATTTTCTAGTTAACCTTGAGAATGAAAATGTCAGCACACCGTTATTTGTCATGTAGTTAAGTATTAGTCCTCTATATAGAGTTTGGGTTTAATATTCATAATTATTCCTTTAAAATTATACTAGTTTGAGGTGAAATTTTCGCTAACGAGAAAATGGGCAGACAGATTTGAACTGAAAAAAGAAGGTAGTCATTAATTGAGAGAGCGGCTATGTGTTGGTTTTCAAATTGAGTAATATTTCGGAATGGCTAAAAATCGAAGGAAGATATTTGTGCTTGTTTTTCTTTGATTATTTTTACCTGAATATATGAGTTAGTGTCTTTAGTATCAAACTTTTTTTTTTTTGGCTTTCATACATATGGTGAAAAAAATTCAGTTTCATTACTTATGTAATGTACATGTCAACACATGCACCAGTAGCAGATTGAATAGGTAATAAATATATTACAGTTTGCAGTAATAAAAATCCTTACATTACTTTGAAGTTCTATGTTCTTTACTCCAATTGTCAATTATTGTTGAATAGTTGTTAATTTTAGTTTCTCAATTGTCAACGGAATAAATCCAATAACAACTATATCCGGCAGTAATTGACAATTTTAATGTAACAAATTAACAACTTTAATATAGGACATATAAGATTTCAGAATAATTTTATGAAACTTTTTTGTATTCACATTTCTTGTAACTTGAGAGTGATTTTCCCTAAATATGCAAGCCACTTAGTCAATGAAGTTGTGAAGCTATATATAACGAAAAATTATAGCCAGGGCACTAAAATTATATGATTTATTATTCATGCAGCAACTGGGCGAGTCACTACAAAGGTTGATGTGTACAGTTTTGGAGTAGTTCTTATGGAGATGATAACGGGAAGGAGAGTGCTTGATGATAGCCTACCGGAAGAAGACATCCACCTGGTTACGTGGTTCGGGCGAATGATGCAGAACAATGGCTCACTTCGAAAGGTCATTGATCCTTCCATTGATGCTGATGATGAAGCAACCATGTCCAGCATTAGCACTGTTTCAGACTTGGCTGGCCATTGCTGTGCAAGTGACCCTCATCAACGTCCCAACATGGGCCATGTGGTGAGTGTATTATCTCCTCTCGTTCAAGCATGGAAGCCTCTTGAGTCTGGTTCCGATGATGGCAAGTATGGCCTTGAGTTGGATTTGAGTTTGCCTCAAGCGCTCAGAAAGTGGCAGTCTTTGGAAGGAAAGAGCACAATGGTGGAAGGATCCGGTTCTCAATCATTTGTCACAAAATAATGTTATGGGATTCACAATTAAAGAGTGAATTCTTTCAGATATGGGGTGTCTACTGCTCTTTCTGCTACCTTCCTAATGTTCAAAATCTCAACACTTCATTTGGAAGAATTAGATGAAATTTTTCTGACCATTAGTTAAAATGAAAGGTTGAGATTTTGGGTATTAAGAGGCTATAGACACTCCAAATTATTGTAATTGTGATTGCTTGATCCAAGAGAAAAGAGAGAGTGAGAATGATGAGCCTCACATGATGAGTCCTGCGCATGTGTCAGTTGAATTCTACTATTATGTGTCTATTTTTCTCCATATTACTGCAGCACACTGCAATAAAGGAAGAAGAAAGAAAAGAATGGATGGATGGATGAAAAGAGAAACGGTGAGTTATATGCATGCTTTATGTTATTACACTCTAGAAAAGAGAATTAAATGAACGAATAAAATTAAATATTGAAAGAAGATATAATTAAAGATGACCCAATTCCCTAATTTAGTTTTGATGAGACTAATAAAGAATAAATACAAGGAAATGATGTGGGTGACACTCGGTGAGTGCTTCTCATAACTTGGGACACTCATGAGCATTGAGCAATTGAAAAAAAAAAAAAAAAACCTGGCTCACGATAGCATAACTTGCTGAGCAAGGTAGAATTTTCACTAAAAAAACATATAAGCAATTAAAAAACAACGACAAAGGTGTATTTTTATTCTTGAAGTATTTTTTGAGAACTAGTAAAATTTTAAATATAAAGAGATATATTGAAAAAATTTACCTAAAAAAATATAAATTAAGATTTTTATTAATCCAATATTATTAAAACCCCATTAGCAGAAGTACTGTGATCATGAGAAAAAATTAATAATAGAAGATTCCACATTTTCACTTTAACTAGATTTATACCCCGTGTGATATATGGAAATGTTGAGAAATAGTTAAATAGACTTGATATATCACCCCATTTATAGTCTATCTAATTAAAGTGCTCTAAATATTTAAATAAAATCTTGTATAACATTTTTTAATTGATTTTATTTTTATAACAAAATGTATATTTGATTTCTTATATTTTCTCTCTCTTCTATCATTAATATCAAGATTAATTTATATTTAATATCATCTAAATATCATATTTTTATTGGATAGATTACAAATAATGTGATGCACTCAATTTATCTAAGTATTTTCCTGAAAATGTTTTAGTTTTTAAGACTAAAAATAAAAATGAATATTAAAAAATTATTTTAATATCCTTAAAGTAAAATATATTACTTTTCTGTTTATTTTATCTTAATCATAAAGATTTTTTTTATTTTTAAAATCTATATAAATTCCTCTTAAAATCAATAGTTAAAAATTATAAAATATAAATATGTCTTCTACTTTTAAGCTTTCATTTTCATTCATTCAATTATTAGTTGATAGTTAAGTCACATATATTGAACTAAAATACCAATCTTGATATATTCTTTTAAATTTCTATCTTTATTTTAAATTTATTAGTCACACAAGCTAATTTATTTAGTATTTTTAAAAAAATTAAATACACACTCCATCTTTTTAAAAAAATATAAGGTATTTTTATCCAAATATCACATGCAATAAAGTAGTTACTTGTCTTAAAAATAATATCATATTTCCATGCTTACTATTTCAATTGGGTGTTTTACTCTAAAATAAATATAAAATAATTTATTTATTATGGATATTTTTTTTAAAAAAAGACAATGATTACACCTTCAAACACAAAAAATATTTTATATTTTTTAACATCCAACTTTTAATAAATAATTTCTAAATAATGCCTTAAATTTTTTAATGAAGGGAGTAAGTTTGCCAAAAAAATATCTCAAACGCGCACATGCAAGAAAAAAAATTTAGTGAAAAAAGATAGATTTGTCAATATAATTTGCATTTATTTTATTTAAATTTTATAATTTTGGTAAAATATTTTTAAATTATTGTCATACTTAATTGTTAAAAAAGTTTGTGGCCAAAAATTGTTTGAAGTTCCTTAAATTAAGAAGCAAGAGGATAGACAAATAGATTATAAGGGTAAATTAATAATTTAAATTTTTTCAACATAAATAAAAATAATAAATTAAATATTTTAAAATATTTAACATAATATTCCTAATTGTATTAAAAATGAGACTAAAGTATAAGTTTTAAAAATAAAAATTTTTTTTTATAATTCTAACAAAACAAAAGGGATGCCAGTATATTTTACTTTATAATTTATCAAATTATGCAAATTAAAATCCAAGGAAAATTTTATTTTAAATTTTTTATAGTCATACATATTAAAAATATAAATAATAGCTTATTTTATTTTAGAACGTATTGTCCCATGTAAATTAAAATTTAAGGAACAACTTTTTCTTATTCTTTTTTGTTTCTTAAGGTATCCCCACATTTAGTAAATATGAGACTAAAATTTCTATTTTGCAATATGCTATTCTTATACATATTAAAAAAGATCATTATTTTTTAAAATTTCTCACCTCTTGCAATTTGAAATATAATCTAGCTTCTTTTTTTTTTTCAAAATGTGTTCATGTATTACCTTAAGAAAAATAAAATATATAGTATAATGAATCATATTACAATTTACGTGATAATATTATTTATAAATCATAATTATAATAGGTCTAAATCAATCAAATAATATAATTCATGTTTTAGTACCATTTATCAATCATATGTACAAACATTACGAGTAATACAATGATTATTAAGAAAAAATTATGTGCAATGGAAGATAAATTTATTAATATTATATAATTAATTTGTAATCTATACTTTTTTTTGCTCAGACTTGAGGCACATAACTACATCAACATTTTTCATAGGTTTTCAAATAATAATCAACTTTTACATATAAATAATAGAATAATAAATTTTATTCCTTATGCATTTGAAGAATATAAATAAAAACTTATCATATATATGCTTACACAAATCATTTTGATTTGTTACCCAATGTTAATAATAAATATATAAAAAATTATTTTTATCTAAATTGTGTTATCTCATATAAATTTTGTCACATATGTAACACCTATTATTTTTACTAAGAATCTTATATCTATTTATAATTTTTATTATATATCTTATATGATTTTTTAAAATATAAAAATATTATTAATTTTTATACCTTATCTAAAATTTTAACATTTACAAGTGAAAATTTATATGACGAATGTTTTTCATCCTATGTGAATAAATTTTATTAATTAAATTATAGGTCCTACAATCAAGTTCTTTTTACCAATGATAATTTCTTTGCATATCTAACACTTATTTTTTTTATTAAAAATCTTATATTCATTATCAATTTTTTCCATGGATTCTACATGATCTCTCAAAATATAAAAATTTTATTATGTTTTACACCTTGGTTAAATTTTTAAAATTTACAGATGTAGACCCCCACTTACATTTTTTTAATGGTAGGTCCCACATATCATTTTTTTTAACCACACTACTCTAATTTTTTAAAAATTGAATTTATTAAAATCTTACATTATCTCCATTCCTCTTAGAGTATCAATTTATACCAAGTTTAAAATATCTGAACATATAAAAAATTTATAGTCAAGCATGAGTCTTGACACCTATATCTTTTGAGTTTATTTAGACTGATTCAACTATTTCAAATTATTAAAAATTATTTTACTTTATTTTTCTTCTCATTGAGTCCATAAACTATGTCTTTAAATTTTTTTAGCCAATTTATATATTTAATTTTTAAAAAAATTTACAAAATAAATACATTTAAATAATAAAAAAATAATTTTTTGGTAATTTAAATAATTTTTAGACAACATTTATATTCAAATAAAGATATTTTAATCCAACATAAGTGACTTAATGGTCAATTAATGGTTAGGTAGATGAAAATAAAATCCTAAAAATAGAAGAAGACTTTATTTTATAACTATCCATACTAAAAAAATATTCATATAGGTTTCAAAAAATATAGGAGGAATATCATTAATTAAGATAAAAAGTAAACAAAATATTTTACTCATTTTTAATTATAAGTTTCATATTAAAAATTTATTTTTTATAAGGTTTTATAACTATTCATACTAAAATTATTGATATAAGTTTCAAAAAATAGAGGAGGAGTATCATTAATTAAGATAAAAATAGACAAAATATTTTATTCATTTTTAATTATAAGTTTCATATTAAGAATTCATTGTTTGTAGATCTCACATATACCTCTTTTACTATATGGCCCACATTATCTTTTATCTTTTTTCACCCTATCACATTAAAAAAATTAACAACTTAAAAGTAAAAATAAAATAAAATGCCACATGGGTGCTGTAAATCTACAGTACCATCACAGCTTTTACAATATATTATAGATTGTAGATAAATTGTAGGTGTAGAGAGGGCTATACAAAATTCCTCTAATTCGGTCCGGTCCAACTTGAAACAAACATGGTCTTATCCAATCTAAATAAAAATTAATTTTTTAAAATAAAAAAATCAAACTATTTCTTTAGGTTAAATTGAACAAGAGATTGAACATTTAGATTACTTAATTCGATCCTATAAATTTAGTTAATATAATTATAATTAATTTATTAATTACTATTATAATAAGTTAATTTATAATAATAATTAGCATTTTGTATGTTTTATACTTGTGAAGTTATGAATATTGAGTAAAATTTAAGCATAGACTAATCTTAGTCTTCTCTAATTATTGATGAAATTTGTTGTTAACTTGACGTAATGGACTTTAGATGTCACATCCCAAAATTAGATGTGACCGGCACAGGATATATACACAAACACATATCCCTTAAGCCTTAATCAAGAAAATTTTAATTTAAAATCTTAATTCATTTGAAATAAGGTTGGGAATCGTAATAGCATTTCCTATTTAAACAAAAGGTTCCTAAAATTTTTGTAAAGATTTTAGCAAAACCTCCCCATAAATAAGAACTCTTAAAATTTCTATAACAACTATTTATATGCAAATCAATAGTATGGAGCACTGCCCCTCCGCAATAGACAATCGATATAAATTTACAGATCAACATCCTACCTATGATTAATGTGGAGCACTTAAAATATAATTTTAAAATAGAACATATAATTGAATATTTACATCAAAAGGAAAGGCATTTTTAAAAAATAAATAGTCACTCAGCATAGTGGTAAGCCTCTTAATGATTGGCAGGAGGTTCAGTGTCAACTAATGGATTTGAGATTAAAACATTTTTTTACTGAATAACGTCCCAACAATAAATAATTGCACATGAATAAAAATAAAGTTGAAATAATTATGCAATTTAAAAAGGTAACGATCTTCATAACAATTTAGTAGACTTTTGAAATAAAAGAATTCTATAAAATTTTAAATAAAAATCTTGAACCATTAAAATATCGTATCAAATAATATTATCACTTGATTGTAATAAAACAATAAAATGAATAAATAATTATAAATAATTTATTATTTAAAACCAATGGAATGTAAAATTTTCAACTAATCAAATTCATATAATAGGGACTTATTAGAACAATTAACAAACATGGATATATAATTCATGAGGGCAAATAACCAAATGCAGCTCTTGCCACGAAAACAAACGTGGACACACAGTCCACGAGGGTATGTAATTAAACGCAGCCAAAGCCACGAATCAAACATAGACACACAATCCACGAGGGTAATGATAACAAAATGCGGCTCAAAGCCACAAAATCAAACGCGAGTATGATGCTCACGAGTAACCATCCTTCCGTTTCACGTGCATTGGCCATCGCACGGGGCTAGTACCTCCTATAAACACTCTGCTAGCTAGGTGTACCATGGCACGCCAAGGGCTAGCGAAACTATCGTTAGCAACTAGTGTTCTGTATAAAGTCCCTTTTCAAAATCATTTTCAAACATGCGAGAAAATCATTACTTTCAAGATATAATTCTCAATCTCAAAATCAAACTCGCATGAATACTTTTAAGCATTAAAACTTGCCAGAATAAAATTTCATATCTAATACTCATGTTTGCATTTATTGAATAATCAAAAAAAATTTTAAAGTCAAATTCGCATGAATCATTTTTCATAGCAATTCAATAATTTTCAGAATGAAAATCCCATAATTAGAATCCGAACTTGTATTTACTGATAAACTAAAATTATCAAATCTGGTAGAGATAACTTCACAAAAATAAAGTACTTTAATCAACAAAATATCCAATAATTACATTGTTGCTGTAAAAAAATTTATAAAAAAAATATAATATTTCAGTAAAAGAAATATTACTGGAATATCAGTTGGGATGCTATCCACTTACCTGTAAAGTTTTCGAATATATAACTTACTACTAATTGGTCCCTTTTGCCACAATGATTACTCGTTAATCCTAATACCAAGTTAATACCATAGTTAGTTTCTTCCATAGATTTTATTTATTATTATTATTATTTTAACACTATCAATTCAAAATGATTGATGATGATGATGTAAACATTCTTAAATTCAACCTTTCTCAATACTTATAGATATTCCAAAGATTAATATTTAAATAGCAAATTGGTCCTTGAATTACCAAGTAAAGAAACATTCTTTCAAAACATCTATATCTCTAATTCTAACTTTCTTTATGGAGAATAGCTGCCTCCTATAATAATTTTAATTATCAATAATAATATCATCATATATCTTCCACCATTCAATAAGATTCTTTCTTTCAAACATTTTATTGAATATCTTATTATATTTATTAAAGTTTAAACAAATACCAAGTCTTTTCTTCCTCACTGTCCTTTCCAAAATTTTTCAATATTAATATTCGAGCTAATCAAACTTCCATCATCTATTTAAGAGAATTTTTCTCCAATTATTATCTAATTGACAATAAAATAATTATCACATATATCTTGTTATCATAAGCCTAATTCTCCTAATAAACACTTTATCAAATACCTCACAGGCATAATCCTTAATCCATAATTTCCTCCTACTTTCTCTTTTAATTTCATTTTTAAAAAATTTTACAAAATTAATATTGATTTCAATTCAACTTAAAAGATCAAGTCAATCATCATTATTTAAATTTAATAATGCTTCCCAGCTTTAATTTCTTTCCACTAACCAATCTCATATTAAAGAACATCGATCTCATTTTCCTCTTACAATAACTACAGCAATTCAAGTGAGGCACTTACCTCAAATGAACTCCCTAACCTTTAATTTTAACTTGAAAATGCATCTTTATTTTCTCCACTCCTAAGCTGCAACTAAAACAGAGGGAAGAAGAAAAATTTTCAAACCTCCCTCTTACCATCACGTGCACAGAGCAGGAAAAAAAAGGAGAAGAAGTAAGATTCAACCACACTCACATGATCAACACTGCTGCAGAAGAATAAAGAATGAAGTGGAAGATCAAAACTCCAACGTACACACCCAGACCAACACGTGGAATCGCAGAACAGGGGAGAAGAGAATTTGTAGCAGCACAAACGAACAAGAGAAGCAGAAATTCTGCAGCGAGAGTCAGTGGAAGGAAAAAGGGGATGATCCTGCAAGCAGGGGTGGAAGAAACATACTAGGACTTCCAACAACAGCTCGAATCTTCACGTGCTTGCCACCCTCTGTCAGACAGAATGGAGAAGGAACAAGAAGGGTTCGGCGGTGAGAAACAGAGGAAAAGGAAGAAGCTATGAACTAGGACAGCAACGACACGCTCGCGGGTGTAGTGGCTAAGTTGAAGACGAAAGAGGAGGAAAGAGACAGAGATGGCATGTGTTTTCTGGTTCAGCTCCTCTCTCCTCCGCTCTCTCGTGATAGTTCTAGAAAAAAATCCAATGGAGAATGAAGAGGCCGTGCTCTCCGGTCTCTCTATCTTTCCTTTATTTATTTTAATAGTATGGCATTTTTGTAATTCTACCTTGAGCAAAAGCTAAAAGATGAAAATGACACTCTTGGCCTCATGAAAATTGAAATTTAAGACCTATTAGTTATGTAATTTACATAAAGTCCACGAGACCACAATTCGCCTTAACCTTTTTTTACTCAAAAAATAATAAAAATACACTTTAAATATTTTATAATAATTTAATTAATTTAATTTTATTATTATTATTTTATTTTGGTCACTACATTAGATATGTTAAAGGTTGTTTAATTTGATTATAATTGACATACTTTTTTGTGTTGTTGGAAATTATTATGGATTTATAATTATTGTTGTGATAAATTTTATATAATTATAAATAATTTTATTATGTTAATTGAAACTATCATATTAAAATAAATTGCTACTTTTCATAAATGAAAAAGAAAAAAAAAGTGAGATGCTAGATAAGGTTGGGACTAGTCTCCTAGTCTTATTAGACCAGTTCGATTCTGTTAGGCTTCAAGTTAGACTAAATCAAATCACAAATTACTTAATTCAATTCTTTTTATAAAAAAGAATCAAATTTAGAGTTAAGCTGACATTCTGTTCGGTAAATTCTTAATGCGACCCTTGATATATATATATATATATATATATATATTTATTTATTTATTTATTGTGGATTGATGGTAGATGTAGAAATAGATTGAAGATACTGTAGATGTAGATACATCATCACATGTTTTTTTTTTTTTTTTAGTTTCTTTTTATTATCTTTCAAGAGGACACCACCATCATGGCAATCCGTTTCTGAACAAAATCACGTTGCATTATTGCTGCATTTGCGCGGAGTTCCCTTTGTAATCTCATTGCAAAATGCCTCGCATGCCACTTATTCTAAAACCACCAACGAATCGGCTGTTACAGCACGTGCAACTATTTGATCCTTCTCTCTTGGGGATTTTTTCACCCTTCATCAAATGCAGTGTTGTATGTGGTCACTAATGGCGTCCTTAAAATCCCTACGATTATTTCTCTGCTTTTATTTTCCTTCGCTTTCTATTAGCTGATTTAGTTGGGAAATAACATGGAGAAACCCCAACTTGGTTTTGGGGTTTCTTTCGCAAGTTATTGTCTTGTTTTGGTGCTGTCAATGGCAATTTCGACTTTGTCTCAGAATGATGCAGCGGTGATGAGCATTCTTAAGAAGGCGATCAATGCCCCACCTAATCTCAGATGGACGGACAATATTAATGTCTGCAAATGGCAACGTGTGGGTTGCAACTCTGAGAAACGTGTCATTTCCATTCAGATTGGGAACTTGAATTTGCAAGGATCGCTTCCGAAAGAACTCGAGAATCTCTCAGAGCTGCAACGATTTGAGTGCCCGCAGAACCGTCTCATGGGTCCAATTCCATATCTATCCAAGACATTGCAGAAACTAGTAGTTCACGATAACAGTTTCAGCTCCATCCCCAATGATTTTTTCAAGGGAATGACAATGTTACAAGAAGTAAGAATTGGAAATAACCCGTTTCTTCCATGGTCTATTCCGCATAGTCTTAAGGATTGTGTAGCACTCCAAACATTCGCAGCCTCAAATGCAAGTTTGTTTGGAACAATCCCAGAATTTGTAGGTACCATGCCAGGTTTAGTTTCTTTACTCTTGAATTCTAATAGTCTTGAAGGTGGATTGCCTGCGAGCTTTGTGAATAGTTCAATCGAGGAACTTTTATTGAACACACAGAACAGTAATTATAAACTCAGTGGAACAATTAAGGTATTGCAGTACATGACATCCTTAAAACAAGTTTGGCTACATGGTAATTCATTTACTGGTCCAATACCAGACTTGTCAAACCATGATCAGTTGTCTGATGTGAGTTTAAGGGACAATCAATTGGCTTGTGCTGTCCCATCATCTCTCATGACTCTCCCAAGTTTACAGGTTGTGAATTTGACCAACAACTTCCTTCAAGGTCCCACTCCAACATTCAAATCAGGTGTGGCTGTTGATGTGTCTGGGATTAACCAATTTTGCACGAATGTCCCAAATCAGCCATGTAGTCCCCTCGTGAATGCTTTACTCTCTGTTGTTGAACCCTTGAGATGTCCTGTGACATTGGCTGAAAATTGGAAGGGCAATGATCCCTGTAATGGTAGTTGGACAGGAATAGTGTGCTCTGAAGGTAACATTTCAATTATCAATTTTCAAAACATGGGCTTGTCAGGCACTATTTCTCCTAATTTTGCCTCACTTACTTCTGTCACAAAATTGCTCCTTGCTAATAATTCACTCACTGGTCCCATACCAAACGAGCTCGCTACCATGGACAATCTACGAGAGCTAGATGTTTCGAATAACAATTTAGAAGGTTATGTACCATCTTTTCGTAAAAAAGATATGGATCTTAGAATAAATGGGAATCCTAATCTTAGAGAATCTCTTAAATCACCGAACTCAGATTCTGGAGGTAATGGTGGTGACCGTGAGAATAGCAAACTCACTGCATTCATTGTTGGCATTGTGGTTGGCCTAGCGATTCTACTTGCTATAGCAACTCTGGCGTTGCTTAGGTTTGTTAAAAAACATAATTATCCAGGCAAGTTTGGAGGTCTACTAGCGAAGCTAATACGTCCTCGTAATTATAGTGGAATTGGAAAAGTCATGAAGATTAATGCTGCTGGTGCTGATGCTGCCAGTCAAGGTGATGTCCAAGGTATGGTGATTCCAATTCAAGTTCTAAAAGAAGTCACTAACAATTTTAGTAATGCAAACATACTAGGAAAGGGTGGTTTTGGCACTGTGTACAAAGGTGAACTGCATGATGGAACAAAGATTGCAGTGAAAAGAATGGAATCAGGATTGTTGATGGAGAAAGGGTTAAATGGATTCCAAGCTGAAATTGCAGTACTTACACAAGCTCGGCACAAGCATTTGGTGGCACTTATGGGGTATTGCTTGGATGGAAACGAGAAGCTTCTTGTGTATGAATACATGCCTCAGGGAGCTCTAAGTAAGCATTTGTTTAGCTGGAAAGAGAATGGATTGGAACCTTTGGATTGGACAAGAAGACTAAACATTGCCTTGGATGTTGCCAGAGGTGTTGAGTATCTGCATGCTTTGGCTCAACATAGCTTTATTCATCGAGATCTTAAGCCATCCAACATTCTTCTAGGAGATGATATGCGAGCTAAAGTATCAGACTTCGGATTAGTCCGGCTTGCGCCTGAAGGAAGAAATTCAGTTGAAACTAGGCTTGCTGGAACTTTCGGATATCTTGCACCTGAGTATGCAGGTCGGTAGGCTTTTATCTATGGATCAAACTAGAAACTTACTTGCAAAAATTCATCAAATAGGCCCTTTGACATTGTTCGCTAAAATGTAATATTATACATTTTCCAGTTAACCTTGTGAAACTATCATTTGTCATTTTTCTGATTCTTTTAAAATTTTATTATCTATGGCTTGAACAAAAAAGAAATTCATTAATTGATTGTGATTCTATATCTCAGCATCATTTGTTTTCCATACTTTTTCCTAGAAACATCTGGACGAAGGCATGGAAGATGACAGCATGTTGATTAAAGTCTGAGTAAATTGCATTCATCTTTTATAGATATATTCAAATTCAATTTATTATCATGAACCTTAATAATACATCTTCCTGACACTAAATTCGTTCTTTCTCTCAAGCTCTTAAAAATCTAATTCTATGCAATTCAAATTACCTTGCTTCTCATGAAAGATTCAAACAAGGGAGGTTCATATTATCATATATGGGGAGAGAGGGGGTGAATATAGATTTATTAAAAGGATATTCTAGTATGGATTTAAAAATAGAGGGAAAATGAGAATAGAAAGAAATCTTTCTGTCTTTCATGTATTGATTTTACATTATATATGAGATTATACAAGCCACTGTATATAATAATGGACTTTTAGACAAGGCAGGTACTAAAATGTTGGTATGATTTATTATTCATGCAGCAACTGGGAGAGTAACTACAAAAGTTGATGTGTACAGTTTCGGAGTAGTTCTTATGGAGATGATAACGGGAAGGAGAGTGCTTGACGATAGCTTACCAGAGGAAGACTTCCACCTGGTTATGTGGTTCAGACGAATGATGCAGAACAATGACTCGTTTAGAAAGGTTATTGATCCAATCATTGATGCTGACGATGAAGCGACCATGTCAAGCATTAGGACTGTGTCAGAGTTGGCTGGCCGTTGCTGTGCAAGTGAGCCTCATCAACGTCCTGACATGGGCTATGTAGTGAACATACTATCGCCTCTTGTTCGGGCAGCATGGAAGCCCATTGAGTCAAGTTCAGATGATGATCATAGCAAGTATGGCATTGATCTTGATATGACTTTGCCTCAAGCACTGAGTAAGTGGCAGTCTTTGGAAGGAAAGAGCAGTACAATGGTGGATGGATCTTGTTCTCAATCATTTGTCACAAAATAATGGTACCAATTCACTATTAGAGAGAGCTTGATTGGAATTATATTCTTTCTAGTGACTGTGCAGTCCAACAAGGAAGGAATAGAGAGAATAATTGGCCTCACATGATATTGAGTCAGATGAGGTGTCTACTGCACTCTCCCCTGCCGCCCTAATGCCCAAAGTCTCAAACCTTTATTAGGGGGGAATTAGGTGAAATTTCTGATCTGTTCATTAGCTAAAATGAAAAGCTGAGATTTCGGACGCAGTAAAAAAGTAGACACTCCAAATACAGGTTGAGTCTACACCGTGCCACAACAAATTAAAGGACGTGGATTTGAGGATTTCAACCAGCACGTGCAATTGCTATCAGATCGTCAAGTTCATTTTTGTAACTTTGGAAGAAAGAAGGAAAATAATGGATGGCTGGGAAGAGAAACGGTATATATGTTCTGTAAGTGCGTATAAATACACTTTTGTATTACACTCTCTCAAAGAGGAATTTGCAGGATATACAAGGTGGTTTTACGCTTATATTGATTTTTGACATTATCAACTACGTTTTCACATGGACGATCAAATTACTTACATGGAAACTTACATTAGCTCTGGTGCAGGGTATGTATGGATTTTATCAAGGACCAATGTTTTAAAGATGTTAAAAGTTTGGCATATCTACTGATTCGAAATACATGTATTAGATTTAGATAGTCATATGGTTTCAGATACTTCTAGTTTTTCGGGCGGGCATCGATTTAGGAAAACATGCATATTTATTTGTTGTAACTCCTTGTCCTTGGTAAAGTTCATAGGATGTTACAATCGTGAAAATCAATGTTCTTGTCTCATTTCTCATTCATTCGGCGATTCTCTTCATATCTACCAACTCCTGCTTCAAATTACCCAACCGAATCTGTACAAGTGAGTGTCGATCACTTATTATTGATCTCTTATATTTTTCAAACTTCACAAAATTAATATTTCAAGTAATCAACTCCAACTCGCGAAGACTTTTGCACTAATTTTGATCTTTTGACTTCGGCCCTTTAGCAATGACCACCAGTCCCTCCTTGTTATCTTGCACTAAACAAGAATTAATTAATTAATCACTGTACATACATAAATGTATAAAATTAATTTTTTTTTCTAAGAGGTTATTTCTAATTAAGTAGCCGTTGGGTAATTGGGGTTTCTTCTAATCATGCATCAAATACATTTCATCCACTCAGCCTCTCCTTTCACTAAAAAAATAAAGAAAATTCCCTTCATATTACATTGGAGTGTGAATCACGTCATCACGAGCTATATGTTTTATGTAGTAATAAAACATGTCCAAATTTGGCTGAGAAAAAGGGTTCCTATAATCCACAGGATGATACAATTGCTTTTTCCATGATTCACTTGCATCGTCGTCTCCTTGGCCATTGTTCGTCCCATCAAAGTTAGGGTTCTTAATCAATCAAATATTATTAGAACCCCCCCAGAAGCAAAAGTCACACTGATCATGAGAAAAACTAATAATAGAAGATTCCAACAATGCCTCCCAGCTGTCATCATCCTTCTCTTTTATAGCATCGTTTTCAAGATCAATCAATGGCTTCTCCTCTTTATCATCATCAAGCTTATTGTTATTATGACCTTTCACGACGACATCACCACCACCATCTCTTCTCGCTACCAGCTTTTGATCTCCTCGGGAGGGAGAACCCGCCGACGATGAGGAGGGCGGAGAGCTAGGCGTTGTCAGCGATGACGACGGTGACGATGACGACTCGGTTAGCTCCCACATGCCTTTGAGGAAAGTTTCCAGAGCTTGAATTTGTATAAGTGGGATTCTATCAACCACAGGGTACTCATAGAAACCGCACAATCCCTTAAACTTACACCAATCATAGAACTGAGAAAGTTGGCTTGTTTGTACAGAAGCTTTCTTGTATATGGCAAAAGCAGCCAAGCAATTCATGTAGGGCATTTGAAGAAGATTATCCAAAACCACTGCGATTTCTCTCCTGAACTGTGTGTAGTAGGCAAAGCTGTCTCGAATTATCTGTTTCATGGCCGATCGAACGATGGAGCTTTGTGTTGTTAATTTTTCCATGGGAACACAGCCCATCACTCTGTCCATAATGCTCTGAAGCTGTGGTAACATCTCAAGTGTGTCACCAATCTCTTTCATCTTCGCTTTGAATTTATCAGTCCCATCACTTTCTTCTTCTTCTTCGCCTTCACCTTCTTGTTCTTCATGGAATAATTTCTTGCCATCCAAGAAAACACAATCTAGGGCTTCGTCAAGAAGCAGAGCGTAGGATCTGACAAAAACAGTACACTCCGCCGCAGAACACGAAGACGAATCGTCTCGAAAACGACAAGAGTAGAGAGAAAGCAAACCGTTAGAACGTGACCAGAGGATTTCATACCCGAAGGGGCTGTCGGCGGGGACTGACAGGAGCAAACGGTGAAGTAGGAGGAGGCACTTGAGGGCGACACGCCAGCTGCGCGTGGCGGCGAAACGACGAGTGAAGCTGAGGGAGAAGGAGTGGAAGGAAGAAGGAGAGAAGGAGAAGATTTTCGAGAGCTCGTTTATGTATTTGTCACGGAGAGGGAAGTCATCCGGTGGTGTTGCTTTGATGAGGATGAGATTGACATCGGAAAACCCTGTCGCTGAAGCGATCTTGGCGTAGCTGACGCAGCTTTGCTCTTTCAGAGCAGTGCGTACTTGCCGGAGCTTCCTCTGCATGTTGTATGTCTTCTCTCTCTCTAGTCTTTCTCAAGTATGAGGAAGCTAGGGGAGAAAGATGGAGGAGGGGTTGTTGCCTGACCAAATATACATGAATCTTAAATATTATTCAAATGAATTAATGATACTTTTTTTATTTAAAAATATAAAATATTAAATGTTAAAAAATATAAAATATTTTTAGTATTTTAAAGTGTAATTATATTTTTTTAAAAGTACTTCTCTTAATATATGATTTTATATTTATTATATAATGTTTAATAAAAATAAATATAAAAAGATAGAGTTAGTTTAAAAAGTAAATAACTACTTTATTAAAAAATAAAATATAATTTAAAAATATTTTAAATAAAGTAAATATTTATTTTCATTTTCACTATAGATGTATGATGGGTAAGAAACTCTTTTCTGCCTTAACAATGAGTTGGCAAGCAATTAATAATTGTTTACAGTGCATCCTACACGATCCTTCAGGGCACTTTGGAGTTGCATATTAATTAATAATTAATGGATTTAATAAAAATTATTAAATTTGTAAGTTACTCCTAACATATTTGATGAGAACTAATTAAAATCTTACAGTTCATTAACTAAAAATTTAATATTTTTTTATTTTGTTTACATTAATATACATAAACATATGTTTTCTCACCATTAATAAAAGTAAAATAGGAAATATTATGATAAAAAATTAATTATATAACTTATAAATATGATTAAAAAAATTATACCTTCTAAAAGTAAAATAAGAAATATTATAATAAAAAAATTGATAATGTGAGTTATAAATATAATTAAAAAATTATACCTTCTATTTCATAAAGAATATATACTCTGTTCGTTTTTTAATATAAAACAAAATTTAAAACTTCTTTTATTCTTAATATAAAAAAATTTAAAGTAATTAATGTTTTTCAATTTTATCCATGATTTATTATTTTATTCATTGTCGTTTGAATTCCTGATAAAAAAATTTATTTATTTTATTAATGAAAAATAAAATTAAAAAAATATAGTTTTAAAATTTTAAAATTATAACTAAAATTTTTAATAAACATGAAGTTTATCATCATCACCTTACATTAAAGACCTGAGCAAAATGTTAGATTGGGAATGGGAGGCCTGAAACAGTGAAACGTGAAAACTTTAACAACAGGCCAGGGTGTGATGTTGGCATGGCTGTAGGCCCCGTCGTGGCTACGACTACGAGAAAATATGTTTCGTTAACAACGAGGATGTGGCTGAAGTGTACGAGGAACGGAGACAAAACAACAAGACATATCTTCAAAAGTCTCAGTTGCGTGCCGAAGTTTCCCTGTAGTTCTTTGTCGTCTTTGCGCATAGCAATTAACGAAGCTATTTATTTACTGCTAAGCCTCCACCTCATGGGTGGACTGGTACTTTTGAAATTTACACCCCTGCCTTTTTCTTTCGTTTTTTTGTTTTTTTGTTTAACTGTACACCGTATGCACGGTATTCTTTTACTAACAATAATCCGGTTTAGGTTAGGATACCAATGAACACACCTTCTAACCAGAATCCGAATATTGCTTCACCACCTTTGATATGACTTGCTAAATTAACTTGATAAATCAATTCAACTTTGGGCTCACAAGGAAGATGCATCAAGGGTCCAATTATTCAATTGTGAAGCCAGGAGTTTGGGTTAAGGTAGACGGCCAAGTCAAGATCTCTGATGCAAAAAAAATATTTCTATTTCTTCTAAATTTATTATTTATCTTTTCTTTTTTTTCTTAATTATATTCAACTTTTATTTGCAGAGACTTATAAATATAATGAATCATTAAACGATATTTAATGAATTTACTCAATTGTTGAATCTTTATTTTTTATTATCTTTTTATTGACTAGTCTCTTTGGTATTAGAAAAAAGGATGACATTGGTCTGATTTAGTTAAATTAAGTTTTTTTTAAAAGATCAATAAATAATATGGGTATTTAAATATAGTAAAATTATGAACTAATATTCACTAAACTTTGAGTTAAAAATTAAATTTTAAATCTACGCTAGAAAGTAAAATCAAAATAGATTTAAAATTTAAAATTTTAAAATAAAAAAGTGCAAATTATAAGAAAACAAAAGAGTACAAATTGTAAAATATAAAAACTCATGCCTCATACATATCATGGACTACATGTGGCTCCACAGCTGTAATTATTTATTTCTTACTGTTCAAAACAAATTTGAGAATAACACTAGTACTAGTGCTTCTAATGCGTAGACAATAATAGAAGTAGACTAATTAAACTAAACTAGATTTTGCTGATTAAAAATAAATTTAAAGGTTAAAGAGCATTTTTATTCTAAAACTTTTTCATGAATGATGCTTGGTATTTTAAATTTTTATTTAGAGCAATATTATCCTAAAAATTTTAAAAATAATGCAGTTTTATTCAACTATTAACATTGATCAACGTTTGACCATTAAATTTTACTTTCACCTCTTGTTTTACATGTGTCCTCTCTCCTCCTCTCGGCATTATTCATCTTCTTATTCTCTCTTCCTTTGTGTTCTAAAAAATTCTCAACTTTCCCCCTCCCCCTCTTTGATTTACATGTGTCCTCTCTCCTTCTTCTCGGCACTGTTCATCTTCCCATTCTCTCTTCCTTTGTGCTCTAAAAAATTCTCAACTCTCCCCCTCCCCCTCTTTGTTTTACATGTGTCCTCTCTCCTCTTCTCGACACTGTTCATCTTCCCATTCTCTCTTCCTTTGTGCTCTAAAAAATTCTCAACTCTCCCCTTCAACCTTCTCATGAAAGAAAATAGGAAGATTTGAGTGTAGGAAGCTTACTTTTAATGTTTATGAGCTTTAAAATACTTTCAATAATCTATTTGTTCAGGCCCTAGCACTACTCTTCAGTTGCTCTTGCAAATCTCTCCCTTTCCTCTCATTTTTGCAAGCTACAGAACAGACTTATTTCTATAAAAAAGTGTCCATGTGCCACAGTGGACGCACAATGTGCCATGAAACATGGCATAAAGAGCACCTTCCCAAGTGTGTTATCACACATGCGCCACAATGGCCTGATCCACATGCCACTGGGCGTGGCACAAAGCCTTCCTCTTTAGATTTTCTTCCTTTTTCTATTTCCAGGTGACTCGACATCTTTCATATCCATGTTTAAGGCTAGAAATACAATCAAACACATTTGTTAGGCTTCTCTGGCCACACAACTCGAACCTCTCTAATAAACTCAATTTAATCAAGTTTAAGCTTAATCAATTTAGTTTAAAATTTGAGGACGTTACAAGAAGTCTTACATTCTAAGCCAAAAGCCTTACACTCAAGTCAGAAGCCTTACATCTCAAGCCATAACTCTTACACCTCAAGCTAGAAGCATTACATCCAAGTCATAACTTTTGAACTTTAAGCCAGAAGCCTTGCACCCAAGCCAAATCCCTTGCACTTTAAGTCAAAATCTTTGCACCGTTTAGTTATTGAGTTTACATATAATCCTTCATATTTACATGTAATTAAGAGATGTTGATTTTTTCTAGCAACACTTTTCGGCTTTGGCAAGCGCATTGTCACTTGCTAGAACTCTGGTGACTAGAGCTCTAGCGAACGGATTTTGTGCCTTTGTGAAAAAAAAAATTGATTAACACATAGGGGCATTTTGATCATTTATTTAAATTATTTAATGAATAAAATATTAGTCTTGATTTTTCAATTACATTTGGTCCTTGGGACCTATTTGCCTTCTAGAATGTCCTTTTCACCAATTTTTTAAAAAAATTTAGATTGTTTGAATTTAATCATAACAGTACAAATTTAAATATTTACTTTTTAATTTTATTTTTTTAAAATAAATTTTATATTTTTCTTAATAAGTCTATTTATTATGATGGTACAAATTTACTTTGAATAATTTAATTTGATATTAATTTTTTTATAATTTTTGTAAGGGAAAACATAACTTTGGAAATAAAAGTGCTGACATGAAATTTTTTAATAAAAAAATTAAAAAAAGCCAATATCAAATGAAATAAAGATGCTGATATTGATTTTTTAATAAGTAAAAATTTAAAGAGTCTAGGTCAACTTTTTTATTTCATTTGATGTGAGTTTTTTTTTAAATTTTTGCTCGTTAAAATATAATGTCAGCATCAATTTAACATGCAAGTATAAAATTAATTATATTAATTGACATGTCAGTATTATCTTTTTGAAAATATAAGAACTAATGTTGCAAACAAAGAAAAGTATAAGGATATGAAATATTGAAAAAAAGTATAGGAACTCGTATCAAATTTAAGCAAAGTACAAGGATCAAAATTAATGTTTTTATTAAAAATTAAAACTAAATAAAAATTTTAAATTTGGACGGTACATATTAAACTAGATGGCTTAGATTTTTTTATTAATGAAACGGTGCGTAGACTGGGCACCTTGCTACGCAGTGTGCACCGAAGACAAACAGTCAAACACCTCATAATACGACTAGGTTTCATTAATAAAGTTCCGCCCAGGGCCATTAATCACCTCGCTCTTGCAATTCTTTTTGTGTTTACTATATTTCTGTCAAAGTATCAAGTCAAACCCTTTCCGTTGTTGCCTTTAACGCTAGGGTTTTAGAGGACTTCACGAGTTTTTGGGTTTTAGACATCTTCGATCTCTCAGCTTAGAGGGAGATTTGAGTGTCAAGTGCTTGCTCCTTCCAGGTCGGCTTTCTCCTGCTCTGATTGTGCTAACAATGGCGGCCATTGCTCCCCCAATTCCCGGTACTGTGACTGACACTATTCCCCCCAAGGAGGTGGAAGAGAAAGTGGATTACTTGAACCTTCCCTGTCCGATTCCCTACGAAGAAATCCACCGTGAAGCTCTCAGTCAGTTCCTTTTGCTCTTCGATTTTTGTTGTTTCTCTTTGCTGAATATTATGCTAAATATTGTTGATTTTGAGAAAATTGGTTATTTGCCATTTTATATGCGTTCCGTCCCAGGATGACCGGAAAAGCTTAGTTCAGATATATTTTCTGTTGATGGAACGCATTCTTGTATACTTGGTGCAGTGTCTCTGAAACCTGAGCTTTTTGAGGGAATGCGCTTTGATTTCACCAAGGGGCTCAATCAGAAATTCTCCCTCAGTCATAGGTAAATATCTGGTTTTTTAAGTTTCGCGTTTCTTGAATTATGCTTGTCTATTTATGTAGTTAGTTAATTTTGTTTTTTAATCAGTGTGTTCATGGGACCTACTGAGATTCCTTCTCAGTCCTCGGAGACCATTAAAATCCCTACTGCTCACTATGAATTTGGTGCCAACTTCATCGATCCTAAGGTAACTTACCTCGTTTAAAATTAGCTTATGGTTATTTCTGTTCAAAATGTGATCTCATGGAATGGTATCGTGCAGCTGATGCTCTTTGGAAGAGTACTTACGGATGGGAGGCTCAATGCAAGAGTAAAGTGTGATTTGACGGAAAATCTCACATTAAAGGCAAATGCTCAGGTATGTCCGTTTTAATTATGGGAAAATGGAAATTATGTGTTGTCGAATTTTTCTATTGTTTTGCTTTTGCATCCTCAAGGTTGTGCAGAGTGCTGACACTCTGATTTACTGTATAATATCTCCTTCTGCTCTACTTAGCATAACCTTTTCTATTTCTCTTTTGCCTGTACAGCTTACGAATGAGCCACATATGTCTCATGGAATGGTCAACTTTGATTATAAGGTAAATTACTCATACCATGATTTTTGGGACAGTGCGTTTTAGATCAACTCTGACAGCTGTTTTGGTTTTTTCCGTGTTCTCTTTAAATTATCTCCTCTTTTGTTTTACATGCTGTATTGGAGAATCTAGACGGTTGCTTTGAAGTTTGAACAAACTAACGTCCAAGCAGTTTTTAACGCCTTTGAGTTTTTTCATGCAGGGTAAAGACTATAGAACGCAATTGCAACTTGGAAATGGAGCTTTATTTGGAGCCAGTTATATTCAGGTGCAGGATCTTCTTTCAATGTGCAATAGAGTTTTGGTACCTTTTGTTATCCTTTTTTGGAAATATTTTTGTGCAAGTGATCCACAATTCTAATGACCTATCCTGATCTTGAAACAAGTTTTTTTTTTTTTTTGGTGGCCAAATTAGAACAAGAGTCTGAAGGAAGGACAATTATCCGTTACACATTTTGGTATAGAATATTGGATTTCTAAGTGCATATTGTTGACAATGAAATTGAATAAGAAGGGATTATGATCAATTATTTAGGTGTTCTGGTGCATGGGGCTAAGATTGGGTTTGGTTACTACTTAGAGTAATGGGGACAGAAATCTGACATATCGTTTGGTTGCCTTTGTCCAAAAATGATTAATGTTTGGATTGATTTGTGTCCACGCCCCCTTTATTTATTTATTTATTTGTTATGATTGATATGTCCCTTTTTCAGTTTATTAGTGGATAAAAGAATGAAACGCTTGCAAACTTCTAGCAAAAGTTGACTAAAATCAGTGATTAAAATTGTCTCTGTTATTGCGTATTAGTCTTTAACTACTTGTTATCTTTAGTGTTGTAAAATACACATTTTTCGAAGATCAAGAAAGGACATCTATCTTCTTTTCTTTTTTTTCCTCGGTAGCATTCTTGGATGCTGTTAACAAAAAGATTTGCTTATCATAATTTAAGCAATTGAGAATAAGCTCGTGAGTTAAATGAATCTCCTCTTCTGGATGTTTTGTATATCAAGTAAATTTCATAACTTTTTGAAGTTTTAAATTGTCATTACTGACAGTTGGGAATGCTACAAGTTATGGGAGTCTGTCTTTTTTTTTTCCCCTGGTATTAATTTGTTGGCTTTGCTTCAGTAAATGAATGTTGCTTATGATAACGGATAATTTTTTCTTCTTTTTGACTGTTCCATGTTGCATTTTCTTTTGTGTTGTTGTATTTAGTCTATTGCGTAGTATTAATGTTGATTGTGGTCAATCCTGAACATCACTTTCTTGACTTTACCGGATGCATGGTGTGGCGTGGTACAATAAATGGATAGGTCTGATTTTTTTTTTTTACTGAATGCAATGACTGTTTTACAGAGTGTTACACCCCATTTATCTTTGGGCGGGGAGGTGTTTTGGGCTGGTCAGCATCGGAAGTCTGGTGTCGGTTATGCTGCTCGCTACAACACTGATAAAATGGTACAGTGGCTTAATATGTGTCTTTCTTTAATTATAATCCACGTATTCCCTTGTTATATTTTCTTATATCAAATGTCTCTATTTTGTGTAGTTGCTTATATTAATTTATATTTTGGGTGGTCATGCTGCTTGCTATGACATTGGTAAAATGATGTGATGACTTACTGATGGTCATTTACATTGTTGGCCCCCTATTCTTTGTATTTTCTTATCTTACATATTTCTTATTTCATTGCTTGTTTTCAATTTATATTTTGCCGTTTTAGTCATTTGACAAGTCACCCTGCTAGTTGTTACTTTTTTAGACTTCTGCACCAGATAATGCTAAGATTTCTGCCTCCTAATTTTTCTGGTGAAAAGTAAAAGGATAATGTGCCTAAAATGTTATGAGGATCCTATATGCTTGCAGGTTGCAACAGGGCAAGTTGCTAGTACTGGTTTGGTTGCTTTAAGCTATGTCCAGAAGGTATCTCAGAAGGTTAGTCAATTGCATAATGTTACGGTATTATGTCATTGTTAATCCAACTTTATTTCTTATATAGAATATACTTTCAGGTTTCTCTAGCATCTGACTTCATGTATAACCACATGTCAAAAGATGTCACTGCCAGCTTTGGTTATGATTACATCCTGAGACAGGTATCTTTTTGGCTTTTCAGTCAGGACTTTTGCTATTAGAAATTAAACGTCAGTTTGATGAATGAGTTGAGGTTATTTTCAGCATATTGGCTAAAATACAACTTTTTCTTCATAATTGCTTTTCATGTTAAATTGGGAGATCTGAACTAAATTTTGAAAAGTCTGGAATGTTCCAGTTCGAATATTTATCTGCAAAACTTGCATTTTAATTAACAAATTGTTTTTGCTTTGCCTATTCAAAACATATGGGGTTGGATTACCAAAAGTAAGTGTTGGTAAAATAATTTTATAAAAGGAAATATACTATCTTTGCCATTGTTATGTGTTGGTGCTGCTTTGCTCCAATTTTCCATATATCTTATGCTTTCTAAAAAGTGAGAGATGATAAGTGGGGTAATTTACACCCTCTCTGCCTTCCCAGTTCTCCACTTGGAAAGAAAAGTGGGAAATTAAAAAAAAAAAGAATAAGAATGAAATCAATTATAAGGAAAGAAACGAAAGGATTTTCAGATGCACCTGACTCACTGTGCTTGCAGATTGGGTCACAACTTTAGAATATACTTACAGTAAACTTGTGTCTGTGTGTGCAAATGACAATAGGTTACCTTTATCACTCTGCCTTGTAAAGATGTCTCTTTTACAAAAGTGAATTTTCTTGAGCCTTGACTTCTAAGATTCTGTTCTGGTAATTCTCTTTAATTTTTGCTATGACTGTTGCAGTGCCGTCTAAGAGGAAAGATTGATTCCAATGGCTGTGTGTCTGCATTTTTGGAGGAGCGTTTAAACATGGGTCTGAATTTTATTCTTTCTGCAGAGGTGAGTGCGTTTTCTTCCACCTGTATGAGTGTAATTCCAATAATCTGTTTTCTTAGCGTGTGTTGAGGAGGTAGGAATCTCCCTTCTGGTTTTTCTTTTTTTTGTTTCCTCTTAACAGTTTGTGTTTTCTTTGCAGCTTGATCACAAGAAAAAAGACTACAAATTTGGGTTTGGTTTGACAGTTGGGGAATAGATGTTTGAAGCTCTGTTTTGTCTTTAAATGCTGCAGCCGCCTCAGTGCCATTTGTTACTTCATTGTCCCTGTAGATTTTTTGTTCTTATCAAACCGAAGCAAAAGGAGGAAAAGTAAATTTCAATGGCAGGAAACATTACTTGCGATCAGCAAGCCGCTGAAGAAATTTAGAGAGTCATAATTTTTTTACGTGGACCTGTGCCGAGAAAGGAATATGTTCATTTGGAACTCTGGCCTTGTATTCCCTTAAAGGGGCTGTAGAGGTATCGGAATAATGCATTGAGATTCATTTCAAATTCTTTAGAAGCGTGGAATCACTGTGACCCTTTAGAATGTTAATTGGTAAAAAGGAGCTGGTTTCAGCATATGTATTTCTGGGCACCAATATATCAAATGAAAACTAAGTTTGATAGTGAACTGGCCAAATTTCCTTTAACCTTTAACCTATGCAAATGATTTCAGAATATGGTTACTTGGTTAGATACTTTCAAACAAAAATGGAATTCTTGAGAAAACCAAATAGGTGTATTTGGAAAAATTAGAATTTTGACACTAGATTTCAGAACATGGTTATAATTTCTGAAGAAAAAAAGACCTTTTTCTTTTGAAAAAAATCAGGCAAGTGTATCCAGGAAAATTGAAATTTTTACGCATGACATAATCTCATGATATGGTTGCACATTTTAGGGGAAAATTGGGTACTCATGTCCACTGAAAAAATGTTGCAAATCATGGAAAGGAAACTTAAATATCGCTAAAACGTGATGGCATGCCATGAAAGAAAGTTAGCAAAAATTGCTCTAGCGTCTATAAAAAATCATCGTGAACGTGAAACAAAACCTGCAAGATATTGAAAAAAATGTGTGTATAAAAAAAAAAAAGAACTATAGAATCTTTGATGTCAGACTTACGTGTCAGTGGAGAAAATATAAGAGCGTGGAAATAGAAGTGCATAATATTGACCAAGGGCCAAGGGGTGTGACATAAATAATAGAGTTTGATTTTTGAAAGGGTATGAAGAACATATATATATATATATATATTTTTTTTTTGAGAGAGAGAGAGAGGACAACCTTAAATCGGCCCACAGATTTTTTGAGAAATTAATTTCATGCCTGTTATGAGAGTATCTTAAAAAAACCAGAAAAAAAGGTGCATGTTATTGAACATCATTTATATATGACAGAAGAAATGTCGCAAAACTTTTTCCTTCACTGATTGTATTGAATATGCTCCCCAAATTGTTAGGACTAGGCTCGTCTTGGAGAACTTCACTTCGGGACGTCGGCCTCATTTCTTTTAATCAGTGATTGAAATTTGAATGCTTGTTTTACCCTTCATCTCGTGTATCGGTCGGAGGTTTAGTCCGGACTACGGAGGATCAAAGCTCTTCCAGCCACCAGCAACGCCGCCGAACACAATCGTACTCAAACCTCCGAAAATGTTTGGTTCAAACGGGTTTTTTTTTTTTTGGGTTGAATATGTAGATACTCGTAATTTTTAAATGTATGATGATAATTAGAAAATATTAAAAATAATTGTTTAAAATTTTGAAAAGATGATATTAATGTGAAGATTGAAGAAGAAGAAGCTTGTGAATTTGAAGACCGCCTCAGGAGGAGTCCGTTACAACTTCCATGCACAAAAGCATTGGCCAAATTCGGTGCTCGCCACGACATCCCCGAGAAAAGGCATCAAGATGATGGAACGTTTCAGGTTGAAGAGACAGGCTCCCATTTCAGAATGCAAGTCCGAGCCTTGTCCCAAAAACGACGACGTTGTTGGGTCTGATGATCCCTTCCCTCCTCAACTCAACATTCCCGAAGACGATCAACGGGAAGCAACTGCGCGACTTGAGCCTACAAATAGCCATGTCTACGCCGAAGATGAAGACCCGTTCATGGGTTTAAAGCTTCGAAGATCCGCCTCCTCTGTCTCAGATTATAAAGGGGACTACATTGACATGTCTTCTCACCCGCTGTTATTGAAGATTTTGCAGAAACAAGGTTAGGTCTAAATAAATGCAATTACTTATTTCGCAGAAAACATTGTTATGCTCTAGAAAATTTAAACTAACAAAGGTTTTGAATTTCATTTGGTCATCCTCTAGCATCTTTCTGGAAGCTGAGGTGAATTTAACATTATTTAAATTACTCAATCACATTAAATAACGTTATAAACTACAATGCGCAATGATTTTTTTTTTTCCTTTCCAGTTTTTGTGTATGAGGGAATGATAAAGGGATTCTAGTGGGAATGATGCACATCATACATGCATAGAGCAACTTGAAAAGATATTTATGCATTAAAATAATCAAACGAGGGACTGGGTTGGGAGAGAGAAAGATTTGAGGTAACAATCCATGAAATTCCGAATTCTTTTTTCATTTTCTTTTCACAGGAGACAGGCAAGTTCTATTTGCAGATAAGGTTTTGAGGTTAACAGGTTCAGGGAACATGAAACGCCGTATTTTATTAATCACCGAGTTTGCCATTTACATTGTTGACCCGGAGTCCGGTACACTTAGGAGAAGGATTACCCTAGCAGCTGTTGAGAAGATGTATCTCAGTGCTCTAAGTGACAACTTTTTTGCAATAATAATTCCAACAGAGTATGATCTACTTATGGCTAGTACGCGAAAGACAGAAATTGTGACTGTGTTAGTTAGAGCTACCAAGAAGGCTTCTAATCACGAACTCAAGTTGGGTTTCTCCAATTGGTAATGAAACTGCCACTCGTCACTTTTATGACACCTGTTTTTAAACAATAATGATTTGTCCCTTAATGTATTGATGATGTTAAAGTGATTTGTTTCCTTATCCGTTGGATGCTTGGAAGAAGTAGTAACAGCTTATTCGAGCTGTGCATGTCTCTTTTTAACATAAATATGTTTAGAATACTTTACCCTAAAAATAAAAAAATGCTTAGGATACTGGGCAAAATTATTGAAAGGATGGAATTTTTTTCATCTTGTGATCTCCTTGAAATCTAAATTTAATTCCCTGAGGAGCCATTTGGGTTGGAGAGAGCTCTATTGTTTGATTTTGTCGACCCTTCTAAGTATGTAGTTTTGAAATATATATACATATGGAAAGTAGTGTCTATAATGCTCCTATAGGCTTGTTGGCATTCAGTTGTATGTTGAATAATCTTGTGGTAGTCCTTGGAGGCTCGGACAGATATAATCTACAGACTTGCTAAAAATTTATAATTTTTTGTGCTAATTGACTTTTTATTCTTCCATTTGTAATTCTTGTGCTCATTGACTTCATTCTTCCATTTGTAATTTTTGTGCTCACTATTTGCGACTTAACTACAGCTGAACATGAAAATCTCGGCAGTTATTTCTTTCTTTCTTTTTTTCTTCCGATCTTTATTCTGTGTGACTGCACTTTTCTGATATCCCCTTGATGGGATTTTTGGTCTCATACTGCATGTAATTTATGTCACACTAAAACGAGGCTCGTCAGATCTCCCTTCCCTTGCATACCCCTTTCAATTCTCAAGTACTTCAACTATTCCTGTAATTATTAGATAGCTAGAACTTTAACAATCAAATTATCAAATCTGTGCTGTAACTTCTGGGCTGAAATTGGTTTTTACCAAGTTCAATAAACTGTTTCATGCTCCTTTTGACTGTAGTTGTTTACAATCATATTTTTCTTGAAGTTTTCCTGATCATTAATCCGTCATTAAAAGGAAGTTTTGCCATTTCTCTGTAGTTTCGAATACCATGCAGCATCTGACCTGCCAAAGGAAATCCAATTTGAAGAAGTTGAAGGTATGTGGCAAAATACTTCTCTGGAAAAGAGATTACTTTCTTCCTTGTTTTTCTGAAACTTCTCTGTTTCTGTTCTGAAATTTTCAGGGGGTGTCAAAACCATAATTTTGAGGAAGGAGTAAATTACGCTAATCATAAATTTATTGCAAGATTTAGTTTTGAGGAAGTAAGCTGCTGTTCACTCAGTTCTGAAGGTGTCTGTAAAACTTAGTAGGAGATCTGCACACTTATTTTTGGAGGGAATTGTTTGACCGAGGTTCTTTTGAAGTGGCATAAGAAATGTAGGAGGAAAAGTATTGATGTCAGGTTTGAACTTGAAACTCAATTTATTTGGATGTTGAAATGTGATTCAATCAATTTCATTGTAAATAATATGAACTTTTTGGTGACATCCTGCCAATTCAAATCGCCCTGATGCAGTATGAATGGTGAATTTGCCTTTGCATTCCACCAATTGAACAAGAGATTTTTATATTGATTTTGGATTTTGATCCTCTCCATCTATTTCTTTTCAATTTTTTTTTAATTTCGAAGAAATGAAGACAATGATGATGACGGATCCTATTTGGATGTTGGGACACTTTGAATCATGAGGTCTATATAATCTTCACCAATTTTTTTTTTAAATTGTCGAGAAATGATGAGCAATTAGTTTGTAACTTTTACTATGGTTTTTTGAGGGAGAATCACACCCAGTTCTCCTTCAAAAAAATTAATCACAAACAAAAATTAATAATAAGTTTCATTTTAAAAAAAAAAGTCATGTTCTCATTTTAATAAAAATCTGTTCTGCATTTGTCTTTATTTGTAATTAATTTTTTTTGAGGGGTATTGAATGTGATTCTTTTATTTTTTTTAAAAAAATATATTTTTATACATTCACACATAAAAAGGAATTTAGTCACATACTTCAACAAAATTAATCTGCGTAATTATTCATTATTCTTCCGACAGGTTCTAATAGCCTTGACTGTGAATGTAGAAAAATTCTGCTTAATTAATGGAGGGCATCCACTGAACAAGTGGATTAGGCGACTCACACGTGGATGTTGCATACGTGTAGATCGCAGTCATCCTCTGTGCTCGTTCTTTCTCTTCAAGGAATCTCGTCAATTACCAAAGAGGATCCACAGTGGTTTACCAAAAAAAAAAAAAAAGGAAAAAAAGATCCACAATCGATTTTTGTTTAAATAAGAAAGCCAACAACCAAAAAACTCTTTTACACCGAAAAGGTGTGAAGTTAATGAAAACCCCCGCTGTCGCACGTACATAAAAAAGCAGTGGACTTATGTAACAAAAAAACAAAAAATAAAAAACAAAACAAAACAAAACAAAAGAAAAAGCAATGTACCTAAATAACCTATCGCATTAAAATCACCAAAATACAAAATTCACCTATAATGCTCGTTATACTGATGGAAAAACCGACAAAAAATTTCGCGACTCTAAATTGGATCATAATGCATGACAGAGTTTGGTTGGCAGACTGACCATAGCAATTTACTACATTTGAAAAAAAGAAAAGAAAAGAAATACTTGATGATGTACCGAGTAATATGAAAATTAATACTTCCTGCATCCCTATATGCAAGAGATTTTTTTAAAATTTTTTTTATCTTTAAATATAAGAAATTGTTAACATATTTTTTCAATGAATGGATCATTATAATTTTATTAAATTAAAAAAAGATAAATATTTTCATGAATTTATTTTAAAAAAAGAGATTCATTTCTTATTTGCAATAATCAGAGCAAAAATAAAATGTTATTATACTTTTAATTTGATAATTAATTTTTATTAGTTTGTATAATTTAATTAAAAATATCTCATATTAATTTAATATAAGAAATTAATTTCTTATAATATGATGAATCAATATTTAAATTCTCTAAAAAAAAAGGTGTTTTCATCAAGTGTTTCACGGTATTTCAAATAGGAGTATCTCTAATATAAGTAAATTTAAAGTCTTAGAGTTTTATTATTAATTAAATCGAAAGATATGTAGGCAGCTTAAATTATTATTTTCATGTTTTTATGAAAATAGCATAAATCGTGAACATTACAGGTTTATTTTTTATTTCTTTTGGTAAATTAGCATAATATTTAAATAAATAATATCACATTTTAATTATTTTTTTAAATCTTAAAAATTGCCAAGGGGCACAGCCAATGAAATCTCGGAAAGGAAAATCACACAAACAACGGCCAAAACTAACCAATAATGAATCATGATGCGTTGATCAAATTGGGAACACCTTCACCATTTCGTTCCTTCTAAATCAACACCCTCCTCCCACCCTCCTCCTTCCTCACCAACGTTCTCATTTTCTCTCTGTGGCGTCATTTCCCGCCACTGTCACGGTCTTTGTTTCTGGAAAAAACTGCATGATCTCAAAATGTCGGTAAGTTTCATGTTTTCGACGTGCTTTCGCTTAGATCTGCTGTGTTCGTCGCACATTCTTCCTTTTAATTACTGTGAATTTTGAAGCTCTGTAGATTGTCCTCTGAAACTTGCTTCCTTTCGGATCCATTATGGGTTTTTGTTTATATATTTCGCTCTTCTTCTTCTTCTTTTTTTTTTTTTTTTGGCTATTTGTGGCGCTCGTGTCGTGTGCAAATCAACCACTTAACGTAATGTATTTTCATATATAATAACATGTATGATGCGCATGCAAAATAAGAAAAACTAGAATGTGGGTTTGTGCATTGAACGAGTATAATGAGCAGTTCTGGATGGTTTATGAATGTTGTGACCTGATAGATATATAGATATATGGATTGATTGGTTGTTAAAGATTTAAAACTCTACAATATCTTATTTCCGTATCTTTCAAAATAAAATATCAAAGCACACTGATCCCATTTGTTTTCATTCCCTGATTGCCAAGTTCGTACATTTTGTCTGGGCTAAAGGTTTCTAATGTACCTTTTTTTAATATCCCTTATAATATTCTAACTTTTCAATTTTATTTTTCATTTTTCTTTGGATAATTAGCTTCTGTGTAAAATAAAAGACATTTGGCTATGTTGATGTTCCAAAATAATGAACATTTGTATTTTTATGATTTTTTAAAGAAAAATATCACAAATACACCTTTTTATTTTTGAGGTGGCGCTATTCTTATTTTAATTGCTGACTTGAGAAACGTTTATTAACTGTGATGAAGTTAAAGTTTCAAGGTTCACCTCATCTGAAGTAAAGCCTTCACAAGCTTATTAGGCTATAGTCAATTCATGATACTGTATTCACTTATGATGCACTTTGACCATGGTCCATTTGGATCAAATGGCATTATTTGGCCCTCAAAACAAGTGATAGCGATGAGCTTTGGTCCTACATCTGTTGCAGTTATGCATTTCGCCTATTGAAGATACTTGATACATGATATTCTTTCTTTTTGTTGAAGTAATTCAATAAGAGGGGCTTCCATAGTTTGGGCGATGATCACTAGTATATTAAGTCATTTATATTCTTGAAGTTTATCATGAAAAATTTATTTGTCATTTTCATTGCTGCTTTTCAGTTGAACACTCACTCGTTGGTTGTCCTCAGGAATAACTTATCTCCCTTGACTTATTGACTCTTCATGTACACGCTTTACTTTTAAGCACGGCAGAATTCACTCAACTGCTTTTGTTTCTTGCTAACCAACCTCTCCATCATTCATATAATTTGATTACTTTTGGCATTCCATTACTCTTTCCTCATGTCACTACTTTCCCTGATTCATGGAATATCACCCTAGGCGCGCCTAATTAAGAATTGTACGTGCAGGCCCCAGTAGACCATACTGAACAACAAGTTGAAGCGATTCCTCAGTCTACAGCTACACCGAATTGGACAAACAATATTTCAAATGTGAGGAAAACTTTTTGATACAATAAAATTGGTTGGCTTTAAGTTGTTTGCTGTACTTGTTTGAATAATCAATTGCAGGCATTTCAACGTGAAATGAAATTTAGATTTTCATGCCCTTGATAGTATAACTGCTCCATTAAAGCATCCAAGTCGTAAAAGTAGTGATAGATCTCAAATTTAAAATACATGTAGGCATAAGGGACTCAAAATGTCTCGAACATGACTAATTTCAGTGTACTTCCATAGACATTTTTGTCCTCTGGCTATGCCACATTTTGGTCATCGGTTTAATTTTCAAGGTTTGTAATTTAAAACAAATCTTATGTGTTCCCCATGTTTATATTCTAATTAATGACAAATTTAAAAGCTAGTCATCTGATTTTTGTTTCCTCAAATGGAGATTTCCGAAGCTGATTCCTCTTTTCTACTTGTTGTAGATAAAAACAGTCAAGGTTAGCAACCTATCACTGGCTGTCTCTGAAATGGACGTTAGAGAATTCTTTTCATCCTCAGGTGATATTCGGCATGTTGAGATGAAAAGGTTAGAACAGCTGTGTCGAAGTGTCGTTTGTAGTTGGTACATTGTTTTCCCACATTCACTCATGCTTTGATACCATGATGTATGATACCAAGGTACTAAAAGATACGGTCTCCAATATTCTTGGTTTGTTATGACATTTGAAAGTTTTCATGAGGATAAGTTAGTATTTAATAAGACTAAAAGCTAAAAGTGCGGGGATACGAGGTCCCTATGGCTTTGGGTGGGTTGATTTACCATACAAAATGGTTTCATCTTGTGCCTGTCGTTATCTTGGGTAACATCATGACACCAGACCAAGAATCTTGATGCTATTGTACCAAAACACATACATTGGACATTACATAATTCATATATTGTAGAGACAACGGCTAATCTTCTTCCAAGATTTTAGTGTCCTTAAGAGCAAGGAAAGCAAAGTTCCCAAAATATTTTTTTGGGAGAATGACAAGCAAAGATCTTGTAAGAACATTAGTGACAAATTAGAAACTTTAGTACTAAAATATGGTAGAAGAAGTAATGAAATTTGTGAACGTGTGTTTAAAAATTCTAATTTGTTATTAAAGCTCTTACAATGTCCTTATTTGCCTTTCTCCCTTTTTTTTCCAGTCTGCCTACTGTACATGGGAATATGACATTCCAAAACTTCAAATTCCTGATAATATAAAATCTGTCCGCATACTAAACACCCGTTTAATGGTCTGCAGGGAAAATGAGAGCGCCCAGGTTGCTTATGTTACCTTCAAGGAGTCCCCGGGGGCTGAGACAGCATCACTTTTGACAGTATATTTCCTCGCAAAAAATGTTTGCATTGATAGTTTTACAAGTTTATCTCTCAGTAGTTTGATGCATTATATCAATGTAATGCTAAGATATCTATATAGTCAATTACTAATTACTAAATTTATTATTTTTTTCTGAAAAAGCAAAAAGACAAATAGATACTCTAAATAGGTGTGTTCAATTTGTACCCGTTTCGATTAGTCTGGCATCGTCCTGATTATATTAGGATAGGTCTTGTCTTGGCCTGAAAACAATCAAGACAAGACTTTGTAAGATGGGACAGAAAAGGATTTTGGGACGGGACGGGACACAGGATTACTATTGGGACGTCCCGTCCCTCATCGAATATTATATATGTTATTTTTATTTTAAAAATATACATTAAATATATTAATTATATTAATATAATTTATACTTATATTAATTATATCAATTATAATTTCAATACTTGCAATTCTTATATAAAACTAAAATTTTTTATACTGATAATTTTAATGACATAGAGTCAATGGGGCGATATCTTTCTTTATAATATAATAATTATATTAATATAATTTATTTTTATATCTATTTATTTAATAACTTTTATTTATATCGTATTTCTTATTTTATTTTTGGAAGAGCAATTAGCTTAGCACATTTCAACTAAAGTAGAAGAATAATAATTTAATGTTGTGTTTGGCTTGTATGTTATTACTGCTCTTATAGCTTAAAGATTAGAGAGCACTTGTAATTGCTATAATAATGAGTAGTTGTGATTAATGTAATTTAATAATTGATTTTAAATTGTTGTAATTTATATATTTGTGTTGTTTTGATTTCAAACTTAATAAATTATATGATTTAAAATTTTAATGAATATTATTATTCAAACTTTTCTCTAACATTATCCAATTTATTGGGATGGCAAAACGTCCCGATCTCATTCCAGTCCCATCTCAATTCTTAATGAAACAGAATGATTTTTGAGATAGGACATGAGATATGAAACAAAAATTCAATTTCAATTTTTTTTTGAAACAGGACAGGAGACGGAGTGTTCCAGTCCTATTCCTTCCCATGAACACATCTAACTCTAAGTTGTCTTTTTATAAAAAAAAGAAATATTTACTATATTTTTCACTTTTAATAGGGTGCCAAAATAGCGGATCTTTACGTCAGCATTACACTCGATGAGAAATACCAGCCGCCACAAGAAGCTCTTCCTGCAACCCCTGTAAGTACCTGATCATAAGCCCATATTTAGTCATATTTTTTGCATGTAGTCGAGTATTATCATGCTTTGTTGTGATACTCTTCATCCATATGTGTAGTTGAATATGATGGACATGTCTAAATACCCAAACATGTTTTACTCTTTATTGTTTATATGCCTTCACCTTTAAAAAAAAAAAAAAAACACACACACACACACACACACATTTTCCATGTATGCCACAACTCAAAATCAGCTTGAACTTGAGACAAAATACATCAATTTTTCGCACGTTCCCTTGCAATTATCTAGATGTGTTCCAGCCAGAAATTATTTCTGTAAATCATTTCTCATTTCTGAAATATTATCCTGGCCCAGGTGCCATGTCAAGCCACAAATAGAAAAAGCAGCGCTAAAAATATATTCTGAAATTCAGTTCTCATTTCATTATTCAAGCTCCGTACAGTGCCAGATATACATGGCAAGTTCCTTTAGGATGAGGACACGTATACAAGATATTATAACAGAAAAAAGTTCTAGAACAAACTCAATATAAAAATAAATTATTTTGATGATTTGCGAACATGGGCTGGACTGGAGATATTGGATTGGGCTGAGGGAGATACTTCAACATAGTCCATATCCTTGCGCTTAAATACACTCCCACATTTTTGTGATCGGGCAGCTTTGAAGGAAAGCTGTAGAACTTTAGCTTGAGCGAGATGGAGAATCTCAATTCTCAGCTAGTGTGTGTTATTTTTTGCTTCTATTATTATCAAATTCTTGTAATCCTTTAATGAAAGCTTATAATGCGTAATGGTCCCTTCAGGATAAAAGGCAATCTGCTGCTGTATTTAAGAAGGCTGAAGATGTGGCTAATTTGGTGTTTGCCAAGAGTGTTACTATAGGAAAGGATGCACTCAACAGGGCGAAATCCTTTGACGAACGCCATCACTTGATCTCAAATGCTTCTGCCACTGTTGCTTCCATAGACCAGAAAATAGGTTTAAGTGACAAACTAAGCATTGGAACAGCTATGGTGAATGAAAAGGTGAGAGAGATGGATGAAAGGTTTCAGGTTTCTGAAAAGGCAAAGTCTGCTCTTGCTGTTGCTGGGCCAAAGGCCAGTAGTGCTGTGTCTGCTGTCATGAGTAATCCTTATGTTTCTAGTGGAGCTTCATATTTGTCAAGAACCTTCTCTGCTGTTGCAAGGGCTGCTGGCGATGTTGGCACTATGACAAAGGACAAGGTGGGACAGGCTGACCTGGAAAAGGAGGAGGTTGTTCATAAGGAAAAGGAAGAGATCAGAGAAGAGGCCGGGAGCCGACCGGTAGTTCCTGTTAATTCGGCCGATGACAGCAAGCCAGCAGTTGCGTGACTTGGACTGACTTCCAATTCTCCACATTCTCATCAGTATTGTATGATTGATTTTTTGGATGCTTACACTCTACTCAATATTCAGTTGCTGCAATTTGACTTTGTTGCAAACTTGTTATGATCTAAAGGCTGTTTCTCGTTTGAAAGACCTAATTCTTTAATATTGGTCAATATTGAATGGATAAGATCAATTGTTATTTATTAATATTTTACAGCACCTGAGTTTCTCTACACATTTTATCTCCAAGACAAAATGCACTACATTTTATGCATTAGATTATCATATCATCCTATGGATAACTAACAAACAGTCCCTTGAACTCTCAAAACTGAAAAGTGGGTCTCAATTACATTTCAATAAATGATTCTTTATACTTATTTCATCCCTAATGTCGTTCCTTCAAAAGTCATTTCAAACTTCCTATAATAATGTCTTGCAGTAACTAGTACCAGGGACAAACGAGAAATCGTCGTGTCAAACTTGGGGGACTTTCAAAATCTTGTAGTTAATTGATTTGCTGGTTCTTATATTGTACTCTTGGTGCTGGTCACTTTATTTGAATGGAAAATTAGAAGGAAATTGATGGCACAAATAGTTATGATAATATGTGATAAAAAGCATGTCAATTGTCTTTAGGCTTCATTTGGTGGAGAGTAAACTGTGTTGCAGAGAAAAGAATGAACTTGAGATTCTCAAATGTGTATATTTGGTACATTATTTCTACAATTATTTCATTGAGTCTGCAAACATAATGAATTCATTTGAATGAATACATTATGCACCCAAACAAACCATTCAGTGATCACTATGAAATATTTTACAATTCATTATCTGGATTTATGTTGATCAAACGTTATAAAGACAAATTTTTCTTCTAATTTCTCTTTATCCATTTGTTTTTATCAGGGAAACTATTATAATATATAACAAAACAAAATTCTTCCTTAGGAAAGAAGGAATCATAACACAAGATAAAAATTTGCACAATTGCTCCGCGATTCTCAACAATAACTATGTGTGATCTCTATCCCAATGTTGGGTTTTGACCACATAAACCCAAGGATATCTTGTTTGTAACAACAAAAACTCTCTTAATAACTACGGAATGCTTACAACTACAAGAGTTACACGGTCCCCAAAAAAAAAAAAAGCATTCCTCTCAAAAAGGTTAAAGAATAAGAAGTTATTCAATATTCATGATCAGGCATCAAAGCCAAAGAAATGCTACTTTAAATGACCTTCCCTTTATGATGCATTTGTGTTTAGACAAATAAAAAAAATTGTAACGATAATTCGCAACGAACAGAAAGAAATTGTAAGGATAATGTCCTCCTTGTTAGCTAATGTGCTATCATTATCATAGATAGCGCAACAACCACTCCAGTCTCTGTTGCAATAAAAAATAACAATAAATTCATTCTCATTTATCAATGCAAAATCAATAAGAAGACAAACTGAAATGAAATTTATGATATAGTGCTTTCTTTTCTCATTATACACCGGTGTTTGTGACTACAAAACAATGGAATAAAGTTTGACTAATAAATGGCAAACATTCATACCTCAATGCATTTGTGCAAATTCTCATCTTTTGATCTCACGTGGATCTGCAAAATCAAAAAATTAATTACCAACATGATTATTCCCATTCAGTTCCCATACTGGAAAGCCTAAGCACATATATGGAATAATCCATTGAAACGAAAAAAAAAGAGAGAGGGGGGTGGGTTTAGCATCTGAACCATGTAAACGATATCACATTTCGGCTTCGAAGTCTGAAAATGCACCTCTGTGAACATTTCACCAAGTACGTATGCTTAATCTAAACTTTATATTTGATATACATTTATGTGCAAAAATATTAAGGAAGGACCAAAATGAATCTAGAATGGTTAAGGCAGATCTAGCCTTGCTCACAGAATTGATAATAAGCAATGCAGTGTCAAAAAGATTTATAACCGTTGACTTGATGTATTTAAGAACAGCTGGAGCCTCAGTATTCTGCACTGACAGCGATAATATTACCCCAATGACTTTGTGGGATGCATTTTCATTGACGTCTAAGCAACCCAGGATTACAAGTGCAGCAGCAACTGTTGATGGCCAGTAGCATATCTGCTCTTCTGCTGACAGTGCCAGCATTGCCAGGAACATGACCCTCTTCTCCACTTTTGCATCAGCTTCAGCAGCTTTTAGGTAGAACCTGTAATATATGATGCATGGCTGAAATAAACATAAATTCAAGGTTTTGCGCGCATATATATCCTCTACTAATATAAACCGGCCATAGAACGTAATTTAAAAATCAGATAAGACAGGTACTGATAAAGAATGCAAAACTATTATACCATAAGAAATTGTAGATGGTGGGCTGAAAACACTGGAAACTGAGCACCTCTTGCACCATCCATTCCATGGCGACCACTTCACATCTACTATACACGGTGCTTCCTACGTAGAAATTCTTTTGCCGTACGCTACAAGGCTCAACAAATTACTGAAGTTAGGTTGGCATATAATCAAATGAAAATGAACCCTACTAATCTAGGGATTCGATTACATATGACTTCACTTCAGTTTAAGCCAACTAATAATATATTTCTCTAGTTCTTAATCTTAAGATGAAAACACACAGTCACCCCATTGACAGCTAGGACCCCAACAAAGAAATGAAAAGGTTAAATCCCTTACCTGTTATTAGGTTGGTTTTCTTCGATCCTCGTGGCCAATGTGAGGCAGGCTATTCCAACAATTTGAAGGTTCTTTTTGGTTTTGAAGTATCCTTTGCTCAGGAACCGGTCAAGAAGGCTGACGCCAAGAAACATCGTCTCTTGCCGAAGCTCTTTTCGACAAGATTGCTGCCCATTTGAAACCAATTGAGCATTCCAAGAATTTTAGACAAGGTCAATAAGCAGTTCAAATTCCAATGATTCTACAGCCGCAAGCTTCAGAAACACCGGTTGCAATAATAAGACATATCTAAGCGCTAAAGGGTTCGCGTTCGCAGACCAACTTTCTTTTCTTATCTTTAGTATGTAATGAACGAGAAATAAAAGAGCCCCACTGAAGTGAATGCAGCAGCTGCACATGCAAATCTAAAAAGAATCTTCAATTTATTTGTAGGGAAGATTAGTTATACAATAATAAATATATAAATTATTAAAGAAATATTATTTATAGTGCGCCGAAACATGGCCTCTTCGATAATTGTTTTAGTTCACATGGTAATTAATTTATATTTAAAAATAAGCTTTAGTTAAAATTGCTGAAGTATAAATGTATTTTGCAAAAAGTAATTCAAGTATGTTAGATTATTCAAAAATTAAAAAATGTTCCCTAATCATTGTATCATTTAAATTATTTACTTTTCCCGAATTAAATTAAATTAAATTATTATAAAAATCATGTTATATTATATCTAACTTTTGCTTGAATTTAAATTTAAAATTAAAATTTAAAGCCTGTGGTTAACAAAAGAAGCAAGTTGTACTGTTGTATATTATAGTGAGTTACAACTGCCATTTCTGTGCTCCCGGCAAAACTCCTGCCATACCATGCATACATGGTACATGTTGCTGAGTGTGCTAATAGTGATACGGAACTGCCCTCCCTCTGCGTTTGTTCTCTTTCGAGTCTTCAACGAAGCATTGAAAAACTGAAATTTGAAGCAATGCCGATAGCCTAAACAGAAAAATTAAACAAAGCAATGCCGTCCTGGCAGAACTCGAAAGTCAAAACTACCAAGATGGATACGAGAAGAGGAAATTGTACTGCATGCATCATGTTACCACTCACCAAAATTGAAGTACGCCGGAACACAACCGTCCTAAAAAATCTAACGATTGAAAATTCGTTGTAAGAGATGGTCTTCAAAGAGTCAACGTGTAGAGAGGATTTACTCTCTAATAGAATTAAATTTGCTTTGCACACGTTTCGTTAACTATTCGAACGTGTTCTATCAGTCAGATGAAACATGTACAGCTTAATAGCTAGCCAAGAGAAGGTTCTCTATTTTATGTCAATCATGGGGTAATTAGTTACTTGAGACATCATCAGCGAAATTCACAATTGAAGCTAGCAGGGTTTCGAATTAGACTAACCTCAACTATCCAGTGGACCATTTGCGAGCGTTGCTGAAGAACGAGACTGCCGTATTCGGTGGTATTGGAACCGTACTTCTCTGCATAATTGCACAAATACAATTGCCTCCGTTCTCTCTTTCTGAGCATTTGGTAGCTGTCTTCAACCTCGGCATCTTCAAACCTCAAGAACTAAAATCAAATTTATCAAATACCTGGGCATCCCGAATAATTATGTAATCGAAATAAATCATACAGTGATTTTTTTTTTTACCCAAAAAAGAAAAATCAAACAGTGCTTTCTTTTATGAAAATTAAACAATGATTTGACTGATTATTATAAAAACAAAAACAAAAATGCGCTGCTACTGGAGCCGAAATCATGCCCTGATTTCTACATTTCTTTTGCAGACCACAGATTTGAGCACCAATCAGTGCTTAAGAAACAAAACATACTTCTGGTTGATGTGAGGTATCATCCTCGACGCGCAAAGCAATTCCAGAATCTGGTGATTTCAACCTCGAAAACTCATTGTTGTACTGAATAAACAAAGAAAATGTTGGCGAGACATTTCCTGCAGCGGAGCCTTCTGAGAATTGACTTCCAGAATCAGTAAAGTAATCCGAAATTTCTAGTTCTGAGCTTTCAGGAAAGATATCTGAATAGTGATCAGGAAATTCGGGCTCCTGACTTGAAGAATACTCTGATACATCACCGTACGAGAGTTGCTCTGTGCAAGTTAGATTGGAATCATCGACAATATGATTTGAACCCTGTTGTATGCTCGACTGCGCATTAAATTCGATTGTGTTCACATTAGCTTGATGATATCCGGAAACTTGAGAGAACTCTAATTCCGAAGATCCGTTTTCCTTTCCTCTGAACGTCTCCTCCCCTGCCTTTCCAAACATCTCGAGAACACAACAGCCTGCTGGAACGACATCGTTTCGCGCTATCTCCGATGAGAATTGAAGACTCGCGGTGCCGTATCTGGAATCTCCCGCAGAGCATTGCTGATCACAAGTAGTCTCCGATTTCGTAAAAGCTTCAGAACCTTCATTTGTTTCGGTTTCTTTCACACTCTTGCATTCTGTTCCACTCCTAAACTTCAACACCAGACTCCTCTGTTCACCCACACCAGAATTCGAGTCCACACACGAAGACTCAGATACCTCCATCTCGCGATCCTTTTGCTTCTCAGATCTCCGAATCCTCCGGAACTCGTTGCATTTACCCTTCCGAAGATCTCCAACTTCGTTGATTATATTCTTCCTCGAATCCGACCTCCTTTTACTCTCGAACTCAACCGATACTCTGGTCGAATTGCATGATTCTTCACCATTAACGCGAGAGCAAGGGCTCGAATCCACTGAACCGGCGTTCTCCTCAGAAACTTTGAATTTCTTAGAACCAAGCAGGACGGGAGAGATCTGGCATCTTCTCCGACGATGTAGCTTGGACCGGAGCTTCTTCCTGATGCAAGGCGGGGGTTCCAGTTCCAGTTTCCGCTTCAATCTGCTCGATCTAATTGTCATTGCTGTTTGGCTCCCGAGAATTGCAGAGCAAATTAGTGGCGTTGAATGCTTCGGTGTGTGTTCGGGGAGGGGGGGGGGGGGGAGAGAGGAACGGTTACAAGAGTTGAGGCTCACTTCGGTGAAGCGTGGGGTACATGGCTGAGATATTTATATGATATGGTGGTCCCACGTAAGCAATTTCCATGATCACTTTCAGACATCAAGACCAGTTATATTTATGGAAGATGAGAATTTTTGTTTTTTGGCCAGAATATGGAAGATGACAATTGACTTAACTATTTAATTTTTTTTTAATATAATCCGGTTCTATACCCCACAGCCCAATTAATATTCACAATTTTTTTTCACCGTTACGAATTAAAATTTAAATTTTTATTAAAAAATTTAAAAAATATTTATATTTAATATCCAACTATATCTTAAATAAGATTATTTTTAATAAAAAATACCATCGAACAACAAAAAAATATTGGTAATTAAATGTACTTTAATTTAAAGAGTAAGATTTCTTTTCGAAATGAGGATGAACACCTGAATTAAAAAAAATGCATTAGCAATTAAATAGTCCGACTGCTCTTTTTATTATAAAGTTAAAAGTGCTAACAATAAGTAGTACAGTTTTCCTTGTCAGTCACCAAAAAAATAGTCTTACTTAAATGATCAACTAGTGTTCAGTATTGTGATAACTGATACAGCTGACGTAATAATATATTGGGAGAATGACATTTGATTTAAGGCCTTTCAAAAGAATTTTTTACAATAAAAACCCATCAATTTTACATTAAATAATATATTATAAAAACATGTTATTAAAAAGTTAAATATTAACTTATATTTTTTTAATGTTTTTTTTAAATTTAACAAGTTAAAGCTTAATTTTTAACCATAACATATATATGTTTTTACTGAACAATATCTTACGCATAATTTATGTATCTTTATTGCAATAAATTCTTTTAAAAGGATCTTAAATATTATTCTTCCTCATATATGTTGGATACTTGGATTGGTGCTAAAATTTGGTTTAAAAAAGAAATCTATGCTAAAATGAGTTCCTTGCATATTTACTATTTTGTGAAAATGAAAGTGTAAATGCATATGAAATGAAATAAATATATTTGATATGATATCCTGTGAAATTATAAATTATAGTATGTTTTAGGATCTGTAACTCCCTCTTGCCAACCTGTCTGCGCATGTATTCCCCTCCCCGTAAGCGTGCATGATTTGTAGCTCTCAGGCCATGATACAAAGATAATAATCATATTGAAACACAAAATGTTACGCGCTCGGTCACAGCTCTCCTTATCCCTTTTGGTTCGTGGTTAGCTCTTTATTATTATTATTATTATTATTTTGTCTAAGAGTATTTTTTATTACAAAATCATATTAATATTAAATGTAGGGACTCTTTTTTTTTTAATCTTTTTGGCGTTTACTTAATTATTGAAATAGATTGAAGACATGCTTCTATCACTTGGGAGTATATCAATTGTATTTTTATATTTTTGTGCAAGAATTTTAAATGATGCATAAAAAGAACATGAGTTACGCACTGCTATTTTGTGCTGAAAGAAACATTGTCCTCACATATTTTAGAAAAAGAGAATAAAATATTTTTTATTTTCTTTTTTGGAATATAGAGTATATTATTTTTTTTATTTTTGTTAAGAAATGGGGTCACATGGAAGCCGTGCACTCCTTCTAGGCACCATCTGGCCAGCCTGTGAACGGATGCAGTGTATTGTACTCCGTAGATGTGGGCACCGTTTGTATTGTAACTTCCCACTAGATTCATGCTCCTAATAATAATGTTTGATAGTTTGAGAAATGAAATTCTTACGTCTCACACATAACCAAATTAGGAAATGTTCCACTTATGATAATATTTGTTCACCGGCCACTTATGGTATTATTATTATTATTATTTTTACATTGAACTATTCAATTACTATACATTGAATTCGACAGGTTACACACACACACACACAATAAAGTAATGAAGGACTTTAGAAAATAAATTTGAATGATATAATTACTATATTTTCTTCGTCATTACTAATACTTTTAAAGTTATTATTCACATTTATTTCAAAAAAAAATATAAATTCAAAACCTTCAAAATTCATAATTTAGAAATTGCCTGCTTTAACAGATCAGAACTAATTTTTAACATCTTTTAACACAATCATAAAGTCATATTAGCCTTCATTAAATATAAATTTCCCAACAAATTATTAAATGGCCTAATTTTTTTTTTTTGGTAAAAGAGAGGGCAAAGCCCATTACACTAGAAAATTAAACATTAATAGGGGAATGAAATCCCACTCTCTTTCCTCACTAAGTCTCTCAAAAATAAAGGCACCAAATCATAAAGAGAAGAAGAGAAGATTCCCTGTTTAGCTAGCAGGTTAGCCACTTCATTAGAACCCTTGACACATGCTTTACCTCCACTCATCAATTAAAATGGAGTAAATTGCATATTTCTAGAAGAACTAAGCTTCCAATACTCGAGCATTGAGGCTGCCCATTAATAAGTTTCACTAGCATTTTAGAATCAAACTACACAATGATACTCCTAAAGCCCACATCCCAAACTAGTCTAAGGCTCCTTAAGATAGCCCATTCTTCAACTTTAAAAGGGCTACAACAGCTAAGTTGGTGGGAAAGCCCTACTATTCATAAACCATCATGGTCTTTCATAACTTCTTCACATCTTGCCTTGTTCGTAGAAGAAGAAACAGCTCTATCAGTATTGATTTTAACCTAATCTCAAGGGGGAGGTTGCCAAGTCTGTACATGAGTACCACTTAAATCCCCCGTAGTTAACCCAGCCTCATCCTTTGAAACATAGAGTTTCCAAGTATTTAATAAAACAGCAGTAGGAATAAGAAGTTTAAGAATACCTTGTTGAAAAATGAAATTATTTTTCCATTTCCACAATTTCCATATAGCCACCTGTAAAGGGCATCCTAAATTAGAACTTAATTATCACACTAACTATGGTTAATCAAGAACTAACCCAAATAGATTGTCCATTACGAGATTAACCTAAATTAATTTTTAACATATTTTTTTCACAAACTATTTAATACAAAGGGATTCCAAGTCTTTAAAATATTTTAAGAACTCATATCATTTAATTAAACATATGCAGAAGCATGATAATAATTATTTTTACTTGCACAAATATTTTGGCCCATTACTATAACACAAACATCAAAACACATTCTCAAGGGCCCAAAATGTCTTTCTATCCAACACAAAACCCATAGTGCAAGTGGATCAAGAATATATTATCCTAATTGGCAATATCATAAACTAAATACACATATCAACATAAAAGGAGAGAGGCCTACAGAAGTGATCATTATCACTTGGCCTAATGCTCTTTTCCTCTGTTCTTCTCAGATGAGCTAGCTCCTGTAATATGTTAAAAGAGAGGGATGAGTACAATCACTCAGTAACCAAGATACATCTAAGTTATACAATTGCATGGTAATTAATCATGAATGCAAGTGGTTAATAAGTTTATCAAAGTGACTATGTAAACAATCACATTAATAACATGTTAATCACATTAACATCTAACTCATGTGAATAATCTCAAGAATAAAGTCAAGTACAAACTTTACACAAATGGCTATATATACATTATTCACAAAATTAATACATATTCTCATTTCCACAATTATAATCATATTCTCAACATAGCCATCAATCACTCAAATGGCATGATAATAATAATATGCATGATCAATCTCTTCCTTATATTCCCTCTTATTTTCAATGACATGAAATCCGTGGGTCAACAACCGGAAGGGATCGTCCATGTAATGAGACTATCCAAAGCCTTAATCATATCATGAGGGGCTACCGGGCCAGGGTTACCTTACTCACTTATTAACACGGTTTCCCCCAAATCACACACTATGGGGTGTCATACCCAAAACTAGCTCTACCCAAAACTCCAGGTAGGCCAGTAGGGTCAAGTCCCTTAATAAAAACAATGCTACAATACCTTACAAGGTAAGTAGCGGTTATAACCCCTAGGATTATTGGTTAATAGCCAAGTACCATATGGATTTTGTGTAATCGCTAACTCCTTCACTAAGGCGAACTCTCGCCATATGATCATGCTTATAAGAAAATGCATTTCAAAAACTCATATATATATTTCAAAATTATCCCACATGCTCATCAACTTTCATTACTGTGCATAATCCACAACTTATAATCAAGAGTGTACACATAATCATCAACCATTAATCTCATTACTCACAAGTCATAAAGTCTCAATAAAGTCACATGCATTACAAATAACTATTTCAAATTTATATATATATATATATATATATTCTTTTATTTCACTAACATAATTAATTAATTAACATACAAATGTATAAAATAAATTTTTTTCGATTACCTCAACCTTTGAAAGGTCAAAGGTTACCCCTCAAGTTACAACATTTTCAAAACTTTTCAAAGCTTGAATGGTGTCAAAAGAAAATTAATCTACAATTGATCATATCCCAATGTGTCAATAATATTATTAACACAATTTTTACTCATACTCTAATGCCTAAGTATTTATTTTATTTTATTTTATTTTATTTTTAAGACCTTAGTCTTAGCCTCTTGAGTTCTAAAATTTAATTTCATGTATTTGAACCTATCTACTTGGTTCAATAGTCTCCTTCACAATAATTTAATTCAAATAATTTTCTAATATCAAAATTTCCCTTTTTATTCCAAAAATTCGCACACAAAAATACCCAAAAATTATAAACTTGATTTCAAGCCTAGAATCATTATTCTATAGCCATAATAATTTATTTTTCATCTCAAATAATTATCTAAATATCAACAAATCAATTTATATTTTCAGATTTAACCAAAAATTTACCCATAGGGATCTATGGATAAACTCAAATGCTTCAAATTTCAATTCTATCAACAAAATAATACTCTAGAATGTTTATTACACTACCAACAACCTCAACAACTAGATTTTCTCACCAAAAATTCATCCCTCTTTCAAACCCTAGATTTTTCAAAATCTTAAAATCTGTAGTCTCAGGAAAAAAATGACTAAGAAAATATTTAGAACACTTATCTTAGTATTAGAATACTTAAAATCTTATCTGAAGTATCCCATTATAAAGCTTTACCTTCTAAATAGTTCCTATCGCCGGCAACGCTCTCGCTCTGTTCTTCTTTTCTTTTTCGAACTTCTCTGTTGCGCGCACGGAGAGATGAGGAAGGGATTAGGAGAAATGAAAAAGGCTTATGTGTTTTAAAATGGGTGTGGGTCCCATGGCAATAATTCACACCACTCTTCCGCTTCCCATCTCCTTTACTTTCTCCTTTTTTTTTATATAATATTACACACTACACACACACACCAACGTCTATATTCCTTCTCGTTTTTCTCTTTTTTTAATATAATATTGCACATTACACATACACCCCAACGTCTATATCCCTTCTCCTTTTCCTCTTTTTTTTATATAATATTACACATTACACACACACACAAATGGATGAAGTCCGTTCCCAATTTTTTTTTCATTCATATCCCTCTTCTCTTTTAATGATAATGATAATAATTCTATTTTCTAAAAATCATAATTTAGAATTTGGATTTATGCTAAATTAAATCCAATAATAATCTCCTAAATTATTTATATCTAAATATTCCTCCAAAATTACTCATTTGCTTTAAATTAACTTAATTAACCTTAGGTTAATTTTTGGAATGTTACACCATCCCCCAAAATAAATCCCAAGTAGGAAATAGACCAAAATGTCTAATAAAGTCACTCATAGATGAAGAAAGGAAAAGTGTATAGTACTTACTTGGCACAAGTTTATACCAAACCAATCAAGTATAGCAGCAATCTTGGAGAATATGCAGTACATCTTCCACTTCAATATTACACCAAGAGTAAAGAGAAGCACAATTAGTCTATGAACCTCTCCATGCATTTATGGGTAATCTATTATGAAAAGTAAGCTGGAGGAATAGATGAATCCTTTTAGCCCTTTTCCATTTCCAAATACTCTTAACAAAGGTTATACAAATCTAGAGGGAGGTCTTCAATCATAAAGTAGCTTTTAAAGTAAAGATACCACTAGCATTTCCTTTCCATACCATGACATGACATCATACCCAACAAAAGAAGCAGGAGGCATAACAGAAATAAGCTTAGAGACAATGTCAGTGGGAACAATAAAGAGATAGCCTAATAAAGCATATCCTTTATCTTTTTATCAAAAAATAGCCAAAAATGATCAAAAAAGCAACATATTCACCATTTTGGATTTGCCATCTTGTGCCATCCTTCACTAAATCTTTTTGGTGGCATATAAACTTCTAAAGTTATGAATCTCCTTTATTCACATTGAAAAGATCATCTTTTGATTGGTACATGTATTTTTGTTACAATAAATCAACCTACAAACCTTTGCTACCTGAACAAGTTCCCACGTAAGCTTTGTACCATAAGCCCTATTCATTGATGGAAGATTCTTAAATCAGAGACCCCAAAAGCCATGGGTTGCATTATTCTATTCCAACTAAGAGGGTGAAATTCCCATGAGTTGATACTTAGAGTCTTATTGAAGCTTATCGATCTCATTACAAATCTTGGTTAGCACACTTGAGACTTGCATTGGGTACATGGGAATAGCAATTAACACAAACTTGGCAAGAATAGCTCATCTTATAGTAAATAGATAGTTAGATTTCCAACCTGCTAGTTTATATCTAACTCTATCAACTATGTATTAAAACTTCTGAGTAGAACATTTTTATTTTGATAAGGGCAAACCAAGGTATCTCCCTATATCAACAGAAATTTGCATTCCAGCAATACTTTTTAGTTTTCCTCCCAATTTTGATTTCACATTTTTGGAGAAGAAGAGGGAAGATTTTCCCTTGTTAACTCTTGCCCCCAAAGCTGCATAAAAGTCCTTGAGACACAACATCATTACATTGACTTGTTGTTTTAAAGCTTCACCAAAAAGGAGAAAATCATCTGCAAATATTAGATGTGAAATATAGGGCCCTTGCTTTGTAATATTAATAGGTAGCCATTGACCACAATCAATAGCAACACTAATTAGATGTGATAGTCTATCCATACAAAGTACGAATAAAAAAGGTGAGTTCAGATCTCCTTGGCGGAGATTTTTTTGAGGGGAGAAAAATTCATATTATGCCTCGTTACATAAAACATTGTATGAAACTGTAGTTATACAATTCAAAATTAGATGAATAAAATCAAAATTCATACAAGCCTCCATAAGTACTTGTTGTAGAAACTCCCACTTGATATGATCATAAGCTTTCTCAAGATCAATCTTTATCACAAAGATGCCTTGTTTCCTTCTAGTTTTCTTCATGAAGTGCATAATTTCTTGGCCTATGATTATGTTATCTTAGATCTGTCTACCAGGAATGGACTGGCTTGGAATGGTGAGATGAAGCTGTCCATACAGCTTTTCAATCTGTGGATAATAATCTTGGTCATGCATTTATAATGGATAGAGCATAAAGAAATAGGTCGAAAATGGCTCACAAACTCCGGTTTATCTCTTTTAGGGATAAGAGATATAAGTGGTTTGTTTGCTTCTTCCATCACTAACTTTCCTTGGAATACCCCGGTAACAAAATTGCACATTACGTCTCCTATAGTTTCCCAATTAGCTTGGAAAAATATAGGAGCGAATCCATCAAATTAATACTTGTCCATAATTTCTTTTCTTCTTCTAATTTGCAGGTTTGACTGATATAAAGTACCTTAACTAATTTGGGTCGCTACGCAAACATAACTCAAGACTAGCTAAATACCTTTTGCACAACTTGCTGGACTCTTTGGAAGAATTGATGCAAAGGTGTGACAGAAGGCCAAAGATACAGGGCAACTGAACTCTCCCACAACATCTCGCATGTTCTTTTTGAAGCAGTGGAGAACAACAGAATGAAGCACAAAATCTTTCAGAGTCTCAAGCAAACATAAGACTATTGGTACCCCCCTCTAATCGGATACTTTAAACTGGACCTGAATGGATCTGTCAACCAATAAGGCTTCGCAACCTATGGAGGAGTTATTAAAGATTGTCATGATAATTGGATTACATCCTTTCAAAAGAGATTGGGCTATTTTTCTCCTACGACTATAGAACTTCTTACACTCAATTCTGGTTTGATGCTATGCAAACATTACCATTTGGATAGAGTCAAGTGCCATACAGATTCTTTAGAGGCTATTTGTTTACTCAGAGTAGGAGGCGGCATAGAACATCCCCTATGCTCAGAGATTTCCAAGGTGCATAAGCTAATTTTTTCAAATTGAGATGTGGAGATTGCATATTCCAACTGTGTTACTCTGCAAGTGATTGACCTCCTAGTCAAAGAAGCTCGCCACAGGCTCAATGACATTTATCTTTACATGAACCCACTTTAGGATGTATAGCCTACTATTAAGCTGACAAACCTATAATATTCACTTGAGCTTTTTCCCAGGCCTTCGTCTATCTTTGTATGTTAAAAAAAAAGGAAAATTAGGCCAGAAGAATGAAACTGAATTTGGGCCGAAAGTGAAATGGACCAACCCGACTTACTAGGGTTTTAAAAGTTAAAAAAAAAAGAAAAAGAAAAAGAAAACACACACACACGCACAGAGCTTTGGGGTTTAGGGATTAAGACTACAAAATCTGTTGTGTGTTTCCGCCTTAGCCTTCGCAAGAGAGCAGCTTTCAACATTGAGGTCTTCTTGGGCCAGTGAATTAAGGTATGCAACTATGTGCATCATTTAGATGTTTTTGTTTCTCTTTTTATCGCGTTTTTTCTGTTAGAATTTGCGTTTCTTCCGTTTGGGCGTGTTTAATTTTTCATTTCGATTTGAATCTGGGTTTTGTGTGTTGTGGAATTTCAAGCTTTTGTCTCGGACGAGGATCAAATTCAGTAAACTTTGTTCTCCTGATGAATAATTCATGGAGAAAGCTTCTGGAGACCTGAACTGAGGAGACATACTGGAAATCGCCTGTGCTTTCCCGAGAAACATCCAAGTTTCTTAGATGAATTACTTAATTTTTGGTCCTATACTTGAGGAATGTTTCTGGAGATTTGGAACGATGTTAATTACTTGGAAAACCCCTTGTATCTCTCATTTTAATTCCTGATTCAGTTCTGAGCCATGGGGAATGCTTTTGGAGACTTGAAACGAATAGACATTGAGAAACACCTATGTTTCTCTGATTAATCCATGTTTTTGCTTCGTTTGAAGTGATGTATTTTTTCCTTTGGTTCTGAGCGTATAAGACCTAGACCTGGATCCCTCACTTAGGTTTTCGATGCGAGAGTAACCTACAATTCTACTTAAACTAAGTGAATATTCTGTCCAATTATTATGTTTTGCACAGTAGGATAGGAATTGTTTCCGCGATTTTTGTTGTCTTCATAGTCTGTATTGTTCTTTAACGATCCCCTAGCCGTTCTATTTGGCCCTACTTTGGGACTTACACTTTTGTAACCCCTTTCATCCTTAAAACCCACTAAAATTGACGTGAGCAAAATGCTTCTCATAATTATTAAAAGGCAATTTTCTTGTTGCTGATTTGCCAATGCGGAAAATTTATGGAGAACTGATTTGAGGGTGCTTCTTGCTCTTTCCCCCTACTCTTCGGAAATCCTTATAACTAAGCAAGCTTAAGATTTATTTGCTTAATTGTGATTAGATCTTTTATATCTGATTTGAAGTATTTTCAGCCTCATCTCTTCGCTTTGTTGCATATTCTCTAAAATTTTTTACTAATTAATTATCAGAACAAGTTCACCTTCTCAGCCTTTCCTCATTACATGACTAGTCTTGTTACTACATATACAGAATGTAAACCAATATGCAATATTTTTCAATTCTGATATTTACGCCATGTGCAACTGATATTTACTCCTTATTCTTCACAATTGATCTGATTTTTTTAATTTTCTTATTTTGTTTTTTTAATTTATTTAGCTGACTTGTTCCTCTGTCTGGACAGTTCCTATTATAGTTGAAGAAGTTTGCAAGGGTCACTTCCATCCAAAATGAGGTAGACTTCAGTTTCAATTGGTCATCTTGATTAATATTATTTTATATTTTGATATTCTTAGTTAATCACTAACATAATTCTATTTTCCCTGTATCTCTTTTCAGCCGACCAATGGAGGAAGATGTAAGTTAATTTTTTGCTTTAAGCTGTGTATACTGCTTGAAGTTTCCCTTGATGTATCGTAGGACTAAATGTTTGTTTTCCCTGTTCTTCATCTTCTGCGTTCTAGATCAATGGTTTATTTTCTTATAAGCACTTTTTGGACGTTGAAGTCTGGAGTTTTAAATTTTATGTGATGGAAATCAATTTCTTCTGTCTTTTTTCTTTTAATTTCTTTATCTTTTGGAGTTCGTGGGTGGGGCAGTATGGGGTTTTGGGTGGGTAAAGACGTTTTTCATTATTCTGCAAATCTTTGAATGATGCATAAACATGTCTTTGAAGGGCCTCTTTGGTACTACTTTATTAATCTATTAATCTTTCTCTACAATTGCTGATCAGCTTAGTTTTTGCTAAATGCTAATTAAAGTGATTTTGTTTTCTATTGATATCAGATATCAGATAATAATGGGTTAAACTCTGTTGGCTTGAATGAAATAATAGTTTTATGATTTTTCTTTTTTTAATTTGCAGTCAAACTGAAGGTCTGACATTGTTAATATAGTACTCTTGACTTGTACATTTTAGGGATTCTAGAAAATTTGATTTAACTCGTAATCATCCTTGGTTTTTACAGGGTGGTAAGAATGAAGAAGAGGAATTTAACACCGGACCGCTATCTGTGCTAATGATGAGTGTTAAGAATAACACACAGGTACTGTTTGTTCTATTATAGCACTGTGGTGCCCATGACATTTGGACTAATGCGGTTTAAAATTTTATTGAAATATCCTGGCTCATGTAGGTGCTGATCAACTGTCGCAACAATAGAAAGCTTCTTGGTCGTGTTAGGGCTTTTGATAGGCACTGCAACATGGTTCTCGAAAATGTTCGGGAAATGTGGACTGAAGTATGTTTTCCCTTTTTCATTGGTTTCTTGTGTCTTTTTTTTTTTTTTTTTCCTTAGAACGTAGGTCCCCAATATAGGGGCGAATTGAAGCTCTCAATTTAGAATATAAAAAATCGCCCATAGCATGTATTATCCTACTGCACTTGGTGATGCTATATTGCAATGGATTTATTAATCTTTTGCTTGTGCTTATAAATATCTCAACCATTCCTTATTTATTCCATCCAGGTGCCAAAGACTGGTAAAGGAAAGAAGAAAGCCCAACCAGTTAACAAGGATAGGTTCATCAGTAAAATGTTCCTTAGAGGAGATTCTGTCATCATTGTTCTCAGGAACCCCAAGTAAACTCCGATCACTTTGTTGGTACTGACATTAACTTGTCGAAGTGGTTTGTCTGTAATATTTTACCCTTTTACTTCTATTTTTGACCTACACCCTTTTTGCAACCTGGACAATTAATATGATCTTGTTGACTAGCCTGCTACCCTTTAAATTTGTTGAGATATTCAGATCTTAGCTAGGACAGGGGTGATGTATTTTGATGGAAGCCAAAAAAATCACACAACAAACTGGTGTAAGGATATCCGAGTTTATTTTATTTTAAAAATTTTAGAGTTTGAAGAGAAAGTGATGTACACACAGAATGTGCATTGGGTTGCTAGTTTTCAGGGGTGGGGTGATTCATTAATCTCTTCTCTGAACTCTAATGACAAGATTTAGAGAATTTATACACCGTGCAGGACTTCTCTCTTTGTTGGAACCCCCCCCCCCAAAAAAAAAAAAACCCAACCCGCTCTTTCGATTGGATGTTTATTGTATCATGGTTAGCTCTTCATTGTCCAACTTATGTGGCAAGATAATATAACCACTAACTCCAATTATGAAAATGAAGACGCTTTTTGTTTCGATGCTTGCGAAGAGAAGTTCTCATATTTCGCTAAATGAAATTCAATTTGAATTTCATCCAATGGGCTGGTAAAATTTTATTTCATTTGCGTAAGAAAAAAATCAACAATTTTGGAGAAAGAATGGTGAGATTTTTGTTCTAATTCGTCATAGTTTATATATATTAAAAAAATAATATCTATTGAATGCCAAAATTAAAGGTAGGAGAACAAATTGAAAATTTAAAATATAACAGATTTTTAAAAGATTTTGGGGATGCTAAATATTTGCAATATTAAAAACATTAGTAGTCAGCGATATAAATTGTGTTAGTTTAACAGTCATTTATAAAAATATTGAAAAGAAAAAATTACCATTAGTTTTTTGGTGAAAACTAAATGAATCAATTTTAATTTAATTTTGAATGAGTAACACTGCACAATAAGTAATAACTTCAAAATTATTATATTGATAAGGAATAGGTAAATTCTAATACTATGTGTACGTAGAAACAAACATGTATGCGGTGAAACTAATTATGATCTCATTAAAAAATAGAGTTGTTCATCCTTCCTCATCATTGTCCTTGAGCCAGTGGTGGCGTGATGCCGAGGTGAAAGAAACGACGTGAATCGCACAAACATCAATTGGAGACCATGTCTACCGCCTTTTTTTTTTTTTTTTTTTTTCCGGGGGCATCAAACACGTCAAGTTCTTAATACTTCAGAGGCGCTTGATGACATGTATACATATACTAATATACTTGCTTCCAAGTCTCTCTCTGTTTTTTTTTCCAGCTTCAATAATCAATTATTTAGCATAGAAAAGAAAATAAACAATTTCAACTGAAAGAACTAACCTAGATCCCCACAATCTTTAGTCAGACCACAAGACTATTGACGTTGCTGAAAGTGGAAGGCTCTTCATGAGTTATAGACGAAAAGAGATGGGAAAGAAAAAAATAAATTATTTAATGTAAAAGACTACCTAATATAATGCAATGTTTGCATGAAAGATGAAGTTATGATGCGTATAATTTAATTCAATCCTAGGATACATAAGAAAAGAATACTTCCCCAGTATGATTTCAGTGATCCTCCTAGAGACAAAATGAAAAGATTAGGCCTTTACTCACAAGATAATTCTTTTACACGATTATAGGCCTTCAGGCTAGAAAATATCATTGAAGGAAGCAGACTATGAGATTGAAAAATGATTCGCTCAGAGGAAAAGTGACCAGTAAGAATCTCATCCTTGAAATATGTGAACTCATAGTAACATCTCAGCAATCTGGATTGCATTAAGTGCAGCTCCCTTGCGAATTTGATCCCCGCAAACAAACATGTCCAGCCTGTGTGAATGTATACACCCAACACTGATGTGAAATGTTCATAATATAAGTGAAATGCTAATTGGAAGATGTTTCTATGTTTTACCCTAGATTCCCATCTTGAGACATGTCACAGCGAATCCTGCCAACGGCAACGTCATCTTTGCTTGAAACTTCCAAAGGAGTTGGAAAATGATTTGATTCACGGTCATCAATCACCGCTACACCTGCAGCATTCTTCAGAATATCTCTTGCTGTGTCCTGAAGAAATGAAAACCAGACTAACTGTGATGCTCGAGCTCCCAAAATCAATTACTAATTTCAGAAATGCAGCTTGATTCACCAAAAAGTCGATATTTCACATTCCTAGTCCCTTAGTGGCAATATCCAAAGACTCAATAACAGTAAAACACATTGTTTCCGAAACTAAGCAAGACCTTATTGACTTCCAGCAACTGGGGTGATAAATGATGCTACAAGCTACTATTTGGCTGCAATATAATGTCCTATAACCTGATAAGCATTACCTCGTCAAGGGGTTTCTCAAATTGAAGGTTCACACTCTCAGCATGGGCTCGCATAACAGGAACTCGTATACATGTCGCAGTTATTTTAACATCCTTGTCGTTCTGCAGATACAGAAGAATTATAAAAATAAACCCCCCCTTAACGTCTAAAGGTGAAACAATTATAGAGGCATTCCAATTTGAAATAAACTGATCAACGCGATATAAAGGTTGATTTTAACTTACCCATATTTTCCTTGTCTCCTTTACCATCTTCATTTCCTCTTCATTGTATCCATTTGAGAGGACAGATGCATTATGGGAGAACAAATTAAAAGCATACTGCACAATACGCAATATTATTATTAGGAAGCAGTCCTCGAGCTTTGATAAACATTCAGAAAAGAGCAAACCTGTTATGTAACCTAAAACACACACACACACACACACAAAACAGAGAAAAAGAGAAACCTGTTGCTTAAATATTTTACAAGTTGGTGGTCTCCCTTCCAATACCTGAGATAACAAAAATTGAAGAACTATCAATTCACTACTTAAGATAAGAAAATTCATTTCTCCTCTCAATATCTTAATGGCACAACTTGAAATAAGATAACGAAAGACGTTTTTTTTTTTTTTTTTTGTCAGTAAAAAACACATATATTGAACCTCACGAGTTTGCAGCTCAAGCTCTTCCATTGCAGCGGCACCAGCACCACTAGCAGCTTGGTATGTGCTAACAACCATACGTAATACCTGTAATGTTATGTCACGGTTGAAAGATGAATCAGTATCAAGACCATCTAAAGCATGCAACTCATGATTTATGCATAACCAGGCGACATATTATAGATAGGACATCTAAACTCCTATTGAATTCTATAGACTTTTAATAGTACCTGAAACACTAGATGAAAAAAAATTCGATGGCCGAACACATATAAAAGTAAAAATGACCATTCATCAAACTATCAATGTACATGCCAATGCCGCATCCAATCTAACTGTATTCTAAAAATGATAGCCTTGATTATAATAACTATAGGAGAATATTATCAATGACATTTGAAAACCTTTTAAGGAGGCAAAACACGTTTTGTAAGACTGTAGGCACAGCAAATTAATAACTTGGCAACTAATAACTAGAGTCGCACAATAAAAGCATAAAAACCAACAGCACTTCAGAAATCGGGATGCATTAACTGAGAAATCTATATGCGTGTTCCACGGAAAAAAACAAACCAGCAGACAAATGATTTTGAAAGTACAAGTCAAGTGATTTTGAAAGCTTAAATACCATTTTGGCTGGTAAAAAATATAGCTCCTTAATTTTAGTCCTTTGTTTTTCTATAATCTATACTACAGGATGCTCAAAAAAGGGAATGTACTTTGTGGATTCATTCTCCCACTTCAGGACAAATGTGCAATCGAGTACCAGACACCAACAATGTTAACAAGATCATTCCTTTTAAAAAAACTAAAACTAAAAGTTAGTGGATTCTCCGTACCTTAGCCCGTCGATGAAGAGGTGTAGCAGCCACTAAGCAAATAATGGTGGAGCAATTGGGGTTAGCTATAAGAGCCCCCGTACCCATTCCAAGCTTAATATGATCCATGGCCTCGGGATTCACTTCTGGAATCACAAGTGGTACATTCTCGTCCATACGAAATGCTGAGCTATTATCCACCACAATCGTCCCTCGTTCGACCGCAATGGGACCGAACTCTCTGCTGATTGACCCACCAGCACTGAACAGAGCAATATCAACGCCGTCGAAGCTTTGTGGAGTCAACTCCTCGATTACATGCTCTCTTTCTTCGAATGTGAGTCGACGGCCAGCGGAGCGCTTGGACGCGAGCATCTTGATGGAGCGGTAAGGGAAATTGCGGTCTGAAAGGACCGAGAGGAACTCATGCCCAACGGCGCCAGTGACACCGACGACGGCCATGGAGGGCCCGTTTTCTTGAAGGGACATGCGGACCTTGGTGGAGGAGGCGAATGTGGGTTTAGGTTGGGTGAGAATGGTGGCTGTGGAAAAGAAGTTAGTGGATTTAGGAAAGGAAAATGCGGCCATTGAAGGAGAGTGAATGGTAAGAAGCAGCAGAGAGAGAAAATAATGGGAAAGGTTTTAGAGAGAGAAGGAGGAGGAAGAGTGTAATGGAGTTCAGAAGTTGGAAGCTGATGCGCTTTCGGTCTCGGAAGACGGAAGACGACGGTGGCGGCACTTTGCTGCCTGAAAGACAATGGTCGACTCAATTGAACTTCACAGATACGAAAGTGAAATGAAATTTAAAAAAATGTTAATATGAACTTATGGTAATATAGTAATTTAGTTAATACTAATATCGGTAGTACTCCACATTCAAGTTCAAAGTATATGTTAATATTAATGAATTTTTTTGGTGATTATCAAAGAATGCATATTAAACTAGGGATAGTGATGATATAATGTTTCAAAAACTTTTTTGTAAATATATAAAACCCAAAACCCATATTACGATATAGAAAGCCAGTCGCACCACCCTCATTCATTGGAAAAGGCATAGAAACTCTGGTAAATACATAGGAAATGGAAACAGAGGATGGGGTTTTTGGAACCACTTTGTTAATCCCATCCCTTTTAGTTCATTAAAAAGCAAAAAAAAAAAAAAACTACTATCCTAAGAGAACATTCAAAGCCACCACCGGCAACAATAGAACATTGACCGCTCGCAACACCGAATTGCATCAACGCTTCACTAGCGTGCCAAAAAAAAAAAAAAACATACACGCACACACGCGCGCTTCACTAGGCTCGCCCCAACGTAACACCGCTGATTCTCATACTAAGCCACAAAAAATCACAACCAATTCTACAAATATAAAATGAAAAATGGTAAAGTGTTTTAAAAGTAGAATCAAAATTAATTTTTTATCAATCCTATAAATAAGGAAGGAAGGAGTAGGTTGATAAAAATGCACAATTTTTCACAATTTATACTTGTAGTGAATAGCATAGTGATAGTGTTCGTACAAAACAATCAATCAGGTATGAATTGTGATGGATGCCAGAGATGTAGAATCTTAAAAAAAAAAAATTGACTTTTAATCAAACTTGAGCTTTCTTATTAAAGTTTACCTAGATGTGAGAATGCGAAATAAAAAAAAATTAATATAAATGTAGAGAAGTAGAGATACATTAATTAAAAGAAAAAAGTGGCGGGCTATACTGGCCAACAGAAAAATAAAGACTAAAACAGAAAAATAAAAATTAAAACTACATGACAAAAAAAAAAAATAAAATAAAGCAACAGACACAGAGTCTGAGATTGATAGTTTGTTGATGCTGATGATAATTGTTGAGAGAGAGCTCCTCTATTTATAGATGATCTTGGCTTGGTGTTCAAACTCCATGATCGCTACTTTCCTTAAATTTAGGAAGCACTTCATTCATCATAGATGATGGATGGTCTTAACTTAATGGTTAGAGTTTCATAAATAATTTTTTTATATAATTATTTTAAAATTAATTAAGTTGAGTTGGGTTTGAGCCTCTAAATTTATAATTTAGGTGCAAACAGATAGTTATAATTTTTAATATAGTGAATTTCACCATATTTCTCAAATTATAAAATATACTCTCTCCATTAAAAAAATTTAAGAAATTTTTTTTGTGAAAATAAATTTTAAAAAATATAAGACATTTTTATTTTTTTAAAGTGTATTTTTTTTTTGAGTAAGTTGATTTAGAGAAAATGCATAAGTTTTCACAATTTATACTTATAGTAAATAATGTAATGATAGTTAAATTTTACTATGCTTCTCAGATTATAAAATATGTACTCCCTCAATTAAAAAAAATTTAAAGCATTTTTTTGTGAGAGTGAATTTTAAAAAATATAAAATATTTTTAATGTTTTAAAATATAATTATTCTTTTTAAAATATTCATATTAAATAAATTATTTTATTTTTATTTTTATTTTAAATTATATATAAAAATGAATATAAAAAATAAAATTAATTTAAAAAGAAATAATTATTTCATTAAGGTAGCATTTAATTAAAAATATTTTATATTTTTTAATAAAAAAAAAAAGTAAAACATACAAAATTTAAACTTAAATGTCTTCTGGCGTAAATATATCTTGACTCTAGAAGTTCCCTCGTCTGCAACGCAACTCTGAACGTGCACTTGCGCTTTGGACATTGGAATTATAAAACACTGAATACCTATGTGCGCCTTACCATAACCGCACCGTGGGATGGGGGCAACATCACAATCTCGTCATTTCGTTGCCTGTTTCGTCTCATACGAATAGAATTGAAGATTGAACACTGTCAAGCGACGCCCATTCATTTCATTCCATTTGATTCGGAGCATGGCCGGCAGTGGCACCGGAGAACCAACGCATTTAGAGCCTGAGAAACAGAGGCTCCTCAAGCACCACACGGAGAAGCACTTCACCGCCGGCGAGATCGTCCGTGACATCATCATCGGCGTTTCTGACGGCCTCACGGTTCCTTTCGCTCTCGCCGCGGGCCTTTCTGGCGCCAATGCCTCCTCCTCCATAGTCCTCACCGCCGGCATCGCCGAAGTCGCCGCCGGCGCCATCTCCATGGGTCTCGGCGGGTACTTGACTCCTTCCCGTCTTTTATTTTCCTTTTCTTTTTCTATCTCCGATTCGCATTCTGAAATTGACTCAGAACATTCACGCTTCCATGGTTCGAAGAGAAAATGAAATGAAAAATTCTGGGCTGTGTATGAGATGTAATTAAAACTCGAATGTTCAGAGTCTGTTAGTCGCTCAGTTTTGTGAAACAGTAAAGTTTATGCAAACTGAAGAACAGTTATTAAAAAAAATGGAGAAAGTTATTCCCAAAAAAAAAAACAAACTGGAGAACATATCAATTTCTAAAATTTTCTCTGCAACTAAACAAGTTACTAAGTTTGCTATATTTAGTTGATCAAATTAGTTATGGATTGCACAGTTATCTTGCGGCAAAGAGTGAAGCTGATCATTACGCGAGAGAATTAAGGAGGGAGCAAGAAGAAATCGTCACTGTACCTGATACTGGTAATTCTTTTCCCTCAATTTTTAGAAACTCTAAGGAATAGAAAAGAATAGAAAATTGTTGAGAAACTGAATTTATTAAATTTTTTCTGGAATCATCTTTCATTTATTTGGGAAATTTAGAAGCGGCTGAGGTAGCGGAAATACTTGCACAATATGGAATTGAACCACACGAATATGCACCTGTGGTTAATGCTCTTAGAAAGAAGCCGCAAGCATGGCTAGATTTCATGATGAAGTAAGTTCACAATCTCATTTATGTTTCTCTTTTCCTTCTTTGAACTTTTTGTCTTTTCCCTCTTGGTTTTTTTTTTTTTTGAAAAATATGTTTGCTGTCAAGATTGACAGTTTTAAATTAATATTTAGCATTTTTGGGTGCATGCATACCATATGAATTGAGAGAAAATATTTTTTAAAAAAATCAATTTAAATATTTGTGGATGGTGTCCATAGTATAATAGCTTTTTCCTGCTCTCTTCAGAATCATCTGGATTGTGTCTATAGTATGAGAATGCCGCAGCATGAATCAAGATTCTCTCATATTGTCTCTTTGTATTTTCTGAGAGATTGAAAGACAGAGTAGGATTAAAGACATAAATTATGAATATGTAAAATATATTTAGGGGAAGATAGAGTAACAAATTATAAATTATAAAAATAAAAAGTGAGTTCTTCAAAAAGTTTAAGTGGTAAGGCATCCACGAGAATAGATAGCGAGTTGAGTAGGCTTTTTGAGTGGGGATCCAACTTTTCGAAAGTGGACAAAGAGTTAAAGGTCCAGAGTCCGGTTCATGCGTGTGGTCCATTACAGACAAAATCGGTGGTTCCAATTTTCAAACAGTGACAACTTAATTCTCTTACACACTGGTTCATGGATTGCACATGGATAGGTCATCACTATCTCGCTTCTTTGCTGCACAGATTTTGGACGCATCTTCATAAAAGAAAACTAAATTATTTCAGTTTTGAAAAGTTAAGCTATTTGTTTACAATTTAACCAAATATTGTACTCGAAGATATGGTTAGTCAATTAGCAAATAGCAAGTGATTTACTACTCTTTTTCTGAAACATTTATTTGAATTAAGAGAATTATTTTCAGATATTGTTATCTTGTAGAACTTTATTTTGAATACAACTGCATTGTAATTTTAGCAACAATACTAATATTTAGACAATTTTTAATTGTGACTTTCATGAGGGCCATCTGTTTCAATTTTCGTGCCAGTTTACATCCGTTTATTGTCATTTGTTTCTGCATCGTATATGTATTATTATGGAAGAAAACTGTAGCCGTACAATGAAATTTAAAAGTAATATATTTCTTGATGGGAGGTTATTTTTTAATTATTAGAATACGTAAGTGTTATCTTTTTATCTTATATTTATTCAACTTGAACACTAAACTTAACAGCTTTTAATCTAAATTTTATTCCTTGACAAATGTAGGCCAGGGCAATTCGTGACAATATTGTCCGCGTCATTTTACCATTGGATCTGATGTGAAATATTGAATGAACTTGAGACAGCTGCATAATAATCATTTTAAGGATGTGACCATGCCAATGGGCGAATGTAGTGTAAAATAGTATAATCAACAGCTTACTTATTCATCAAGGCTAGACAGGATTTCCTCAGATTTGGAACTTCCGGGTTTGGTTAATAAATACATGATGTTTATGTTTACACTTCGCCTATACTTTTATTTCTTTGCATTATTCTCTTGGTTATGTACACACAAAGCTTTACAATCCAATATTCCTCATGAAACTTCTGTGAAGTTCCACAATACAGAGATACATACTGCATTTTGTAAACATGGATGCAGAATAAATAAAGTGACTTGTTTGACAGGTTTGAGCTAGGGCTAGAGAAACCAGATCCAAGGAGAGCACTACATAGTGCAGCGACTATTGCTGTAGCATACATATTAGGAGGACTTGTGCCTCTTGTGCCTTACATGTTCATTCCAAAAGCTACAGATGCAGTTGTGGCCTCCGTTGTTGTTACTTTGTTTGCTTTGCTTATCTTTGGCTATGCCAAGGGACACTTCACTGGTAACAAACCCTTCAAAAGTGCACTCCAAACTGCTTTCATCGGCGCCATCGCCTCCGCAGCTGCCTTTGCCATGGCTAAGGTCATCCACCCTTAGATTATTGCTCTTTTGCTCTCTCAGTTTAACCCCTTTTTTTTGTGTTTTTAGATTCGAATTAGGATTCTGCAATCTAGCATTTGTTACAGCCCTGTGAATTGCACGATAATTGTTTTTTCAATGTGTTTGTGAAGTGTTCGTTGAAGTTGATGGAAGCTAAGCTTGAACTTGGTCGGGAACCTTTACTGTGTGCTGTCATATTAGAATCGAAATATTTTTAAATTATAATTAATTATATGGGTTCATGACAGGTTGAGTAATATGGTATTCAAACCTTAATCGTTAAAATATACCTATATAAACATCAATAGAGAGGCGGTATAATAGAATAAAATAAGTTGTACACGTTTTTTTTTTTTTATCTATAAATGAGTTGTACAGGTAATACTTTTTGAAGAGGTAAATGAGGCAAGCTTTTTGAACAAAAAAAAGAAAGCTTCGAGACCTTATCAACAAAAATAAAGACAAGGTTTTGTGTCTAGAGGGATAAAGTGACTTTTAAATTTTAATTAGCTGCGGCAGCAGCGAGAGGTCCAATTAATCTTTACAAGAGTCGTCAGCCAAAGCATCCTAAGCTACTTACTACTTAGTTGAAAAGTTGCTGAAAGTCAAAAAAAAAGTAGGCTTCATTCACTCAAGGAAAAAAAAAAAAGTAGGCCTCCGACAAAAGAATAGTTCTCCTGCAGAATGTAATAGACAGAACGTACTAAGACAATGTAAAAGTATCCATGGAACCTACTGCCTCCTTCTACTCAATTATTCTCTCTCTAATCTCTTCAAACTCTGAAAGAAAGGCTTTTTAAACACTTGTGTTCTAATAAATAGAAAATTATTGAGAAGATTCGAAACCCCCCAATTTCTTTAGAGATTCATGTAAAGATGTGCATGCTATCCCCCTGAAACCCACCTTTTTTTTTTTTATGAAAAGCTAACTTGTAACTTGTTTTAATATACAAATAGAACATAAGATAATATATATATATATATATATTATTACAGAACATAAACATTCTTTGTTAGAACGTAGAAAGATCTAAAAAGGAAAAGGAACCATCTTTGCTTTTGATTCGTGACGTTTTAAAAGACTATTCTTGCACTAAACCTAGCCCCCATGATTAATGTCTTCCATTATGAGCTCTGGTAAGTCTAAACGGGAAAAAGAAAGGTAAGAATAAACAAGTGCTGCTAGATCATTTAATGGATAAATTACATCTGGGGAGACCGCATTTTATCCAAAACTATCACGCAAAACGTGAAACATAGCCTGCGGCCAAATCACTACAAATTAGCTTCTCTCCCTCCCTCACACACACACGCAGAACTACGCATATTTAGACAACAGAATTATGTTACATATCTTTCATTGAGGCATGGACTTTGTATATGCTTGGGCGACCTGTTAGTTTTCTCCTCCAGAATTCCCTACACATCAACTCTAAATATTTTCACTTCCAGGGTCAGTGGCTTCTTGCCTAACCCTGCTAGGTTAAACACACAAACATCAAATTCTTGCAGGTTATTGTCCACAGCAAACTGTTTCCACCCACTGGCCAGTCCACCGGTGTGACGAGTGGCTTCAAAGGTATATTTAGCAAGCCATTCGCTCTCTCCCACACGTAATATCACATCTTCAGATTGTAGAGGAAAATGCTCTGTCATCCACTTGGTAGGGATTGTCTAATAAGCAACAAAGAGCAAAAAATACAGGTAAAGCCAAGATAAACACGGGCAAAAATCCTCTAGGGTTCTTGTTGTAAAGTTCCTGAATAATGTGGAAAGAAAGTAACATAAAAGTTGAGAGTATATAATATTATTTTCCTTCTCTCTTATCTCTCAAACCCAAGAGGAAAGAAACTCTAAAAGATCCATATTCTAGCAAATAGAAAATAATTGAAAAGATTTGGATCCTGTCAATTTCTTGAAAAATTCGTAACTGCATTGAGAAAGATGCGTGTCAAACCCAAATACGTTGTGGGGTCTTCCAATTAAATGGTATCAGCCATTCCACAGGGTCACAAACACACAGCATCTCTCTCAGAAATTGAGCTGTCAATTTCTCAAGATTTGGGAAAGACCCAAATTCATTAAGGTTATATATAAAGCTAAAGGAAGCCAGAGAACAATTGGAGAGGACATTCAACTAGGGAAGAGAGAATAAAAAACAAAGTTTACCACATAGAATCTCCTGTATACGTGCGAGGGTCGCATGACTACATAGAAGCCATCTGGGGTGCATGCCGCTTGAGCCAATTGGAGGGTATTCTTCTTCGCATTATCTATCATAGCCCTTCTGCTTGAAGCATCTACTACTTCAACCATCTTATTTCTGCTCGTGGATGCAGGTTCAACATCTAATCATAATTCATTGTCGTTAAACAGCATTAACATGACCAAAATAAGGCTCCATTTCCACAAAGCAGCAGCCATATATATATATATATATATTTTTGGGTGTTTATTTCACATAAGATTAACTACTTCCTTTTAATAAAATTGTGGCATGAGAAATGGACTTCTAACATGGAAAGTCAAATTCTAGAAAAGACCTGTTTTCTCAAATCAAATGGCTTTCAAAGACTTAAAAGTTGGCCTCAGAGTAAGTATAAATTTACCAGGAAGCCAGTCAATTTCTCCAGCATGAGCATCAGATCGGTTAGATCTTCCTCTCCGCTTAGTTTGCTGGGCAGGGGTGCGTTCCACAGTAGCTTTCCGAGTCTTTTTACTTTTACCATGTGCAGATTTCTTAGGCGAAGCCACTTTTACTTTGCTATCAGAAGGGATATTTTCTTCTTCCAAACAGTTATCTTTGTTTCTCTTATTTGTAAGCCCACTGTCCCGAACAAAATAAGAAGCTACCTTCTCACATAAGTTCTTCTGGTCAAATATTAGAACATCAAACTGTGATTCACCATTGTACTTGAAGATCAGGAGATCACTCTCTTCCAAAAAGTGATCTTGCGCAAATTGTTGCCAGCCATCTGTGAAGTGCAATACGTCATCTCTAGTTGACAATCTGACAGTCCACTCAGCACCACCAGGACCTTTAAGTGTCACATTATCTGGCAATTTCCTTTTCAAGCTATCTGAAAACCTTTTGGGAAGTGCCTGCAGTATAAACTCAAAAAAGCTTGATAACATCAAAAGAATAGGAGAAACCATGTGCTGCAGCGAAATATTGGCAGCATATATTTGATATGTCTGATTACAAAGGTTGTTAAATCAAATTGAACCTCAATGATAGATATCCAACACAGAGATCAGAAGAAACTGATCACATTCGTTAATAACAATATAATAACCTTCAAGATTCTAACAGCAGGCTCCTAAAGAGACAAGAACTAGGAACTAGAGAAGGTCACGTTTTGTCTAGTGATTATGCAATGGAGGTTGATTTCGATAAAGGTAGCTATCAGCCAGCAAGTAGCTACCATAATGATAGTGTATTAGCTTGGCCATGGTAACAAAATGCAAGAGTGACATTGAATAGGCAATCGGTCCATGAGAGGGATGCTAGAAAATTGAAGGGCTAGTGATGGAATTTTCCCCTCTTTTCTCGAATAAAAGTTTCCAATGCAGAACTTTGACTGAGAAACGTTGAATATCAGTTAGCTTTCAAGCGCATTGATTGACTACTCCAGCAATTCTTACATGCCATAATGTGTTTGCACACGCGACTAAATAGATCCAATCCATACATATGTGACTCAAGTACATAAGTACAGATTCAATCTCCTGCACAAACACTATGTAGCATGCAAGAACTTTTCCTAATGAAACACGGTACATAATTTTTTTGGTAACATGTAAGGCAAGTAATTGGCTGAGTAGTGGTCATTAGACATCTTCATAGGCATATCGTCGTAGTGCGAGGACCAAATAATTTTCAATTCACACATCTTCGGTTCATTTCTACCCAATTACTCGTTGCTTTTTCTCTCTCTTGTTCCCTTCTAAAGTCCTTCTCGCTTTTCCCCTCTCTAAAGTGAGAAAATTAGGGTTCATGCAAACGGGTGGAACCCAAAAAAGTTGACAAATACTTCCTTGATGTGGGGAAAAAACGGAATGACTGAATATTCGACTTATTTCAGAGTACTAAATGAAACAAAAGCAGTGATCACTTGTGGTTGCAATCGGAGGATTTGTAGGAACTATAACAGCTGATCTACAGTTCATAACTTTATAATCAGAAAAGAGATACAAGAAAGGACTACAGAACCAAGAAAGTGAAAAGACCTTCGATGTACTCTGAAGCAATGCAAGGAATTTAAGGGCTAAGAGAGAGGAGTTAACTCCGAAATACTTGCAAGTTGGTATCAGGAGAAGTTATAGGAAGCCAGTAGTCAAAATTGTATCATCACCAGATAATTTCGGAAGAAGGTGATCCACAAAAAGAGGGAAAAGAGGAGGAAGACTAGGGACTTACAAGGTGTTGATCAAAACCGGGAGGGAGACGATGGGCAAAATGCGTGAATTTGAAATGGTTCCAGTAAATACCATCGACCCAAGATCTAGAGCTTCGGCTGGTTTGTGCCATTTCAACAGAAAGCGAAACGCAGAGATTAAGGACAAACAGGGTGGGGAAGGAGTTCGAGAGTTGCTGCAACTTGAACGCCCCGACCCCGAGAAACGGAAGAGAGAGAAGGCTTGAGGGAGGGAGCGAGGGGCACAGACAGGCACATTCCACGTGAGGTAAAACGGATCGAATGTTTATTGTAAAAATTACAAATAGCCAATAGGTGCCAAGAAGAAACTTGTTTCCAAACAAGTCCCATGAATTTGTAAAAACTTTGTAAGTAATGCAGGAAAAATATCAACCAAATATACTTAGAAGAAATTTATTTTAATTAAAGATTAATAAAATTTAAAATTGCATTACAGTCCATTAATTTTTAACTAATATTAACACTTATGTGAAATGATCAGCTTATCACTGAAGTTTAAATTGAAAAAAAAAAAAAAGTCACTCCTATTGTTATAACTATAACTACTAAACTACTACCAAATGCATTGTTTAGATCTATGTTTTCAATTATTAATATTAAGTATCTATTTAAATTTTAACAATAATACATTTAAAATTAATAACAATTCATTCGGGCTTTAACAAGTTAGAAAAACAAATAAGATGTGTATAATTATATATGTTAGTTCTTTGTCAACAAGTATTCATTTGTATTTTTTTTAACAACAACTTAATCAAAGCTAACAACAATTGATTCAGGTTTTAACAAATTATAAAGACAAATGTGATTGGCATAATTGTAAATGCGTTAATTCTTTATCAATAAATATTTATTTAGATTTTGACAATAACTCATTCAAAATTAATAACAATCCATTTGGGTTCTTACAAGTTAGAATTCTGATAGGATGGGCTTAATTGTACTTGTTAGTCCTTTATCAACAAGTATTCATTTAAATTTTGACAATAACCCATTTGTGATTAACAATAATACATTCAAACTTTTAACAAATAAAATACATAAAGTTTTATGACTCCTAACTTGTGATTGTCAATGTCACATTAATAAATAGTATTAAAAAAATAACAACTGTTGTTCTAAAATTAATAACACACCATTATATTAGAACATAAAAATGGTTTAGAAGTTTGGGTTATTGCTTTTTTTGTTGTTGTTATATATAATTAAAAGGTTAAGGTTGAATTTTAGCACTGGGCACCCGATATTCTTAAGTGAAGCAATTTTATCCTTGAACTATTTTTTCAACGAACAAAAAACCCCCTCTATTAAAGAACTATTAACTCTGTTATTATATGCTGACGTGGCATGTGCGAGGGGCCTATGCACAGTGATATGTAAGACTCTGATCGTATCCTTTTATGCTAATTTGTCCTTGAACTCATTTTTTATGAGTGTTGAGCACTTTAAAATATTTTTCTAAAAGCATTAGGTACCTAAAAATCTTATTAAAATAAAATTTAATAAATACTGTCAAAATATTAAATATTTTCATATTTAATAATTTAAATATTATTATTCATAAATATTCATTCCAAATTTATAAATTACTTTTTAAATATTAACAACTCAAATTAACATTTTATAAATTTATATATAAATTTTTATTTTTTATATATCGATCTTCGATCTTTTTTTTGAGATAGTGTCCAAATTGTTACACTTTTTGTGCTTGTCAAAACTTATTTATATTTTTAATATTAATTAATTTTATTAATTTTTGGGTCAACTAATGATTTTCCTTCAAAATATTTTACTGTCCAAATTAAATAGTCTCTATATGTTGCAATGTTAGGAGTAAAGTCAAAAATATGACAATTAGGACCCACAAAATGACAATAAAAATGTTAATTTGAAAAATAGCATTTATTCCATTAATGTGCCATAAAAAAACTATTTAACAAGAAAAAATAGAGAAATGAGAAGCAAAAATTTCTCCATTAATTTGAAGGTTCATTCCTTTTATTTTAAATACGAAATTGTAAAATACTAAATTGGGTGGTGCAATGCTTTAAATAGTAATATTTAAATTATTAAATATTAAAATACTTAATATTTTAATAATATTTATTAAATTTTATTTTAACAAAACGCTAAAGTGCTCAACGCTCTTAGAAAAAGACTTTAGAGTGTTTAGCACTCTTGAAAAAGAGTTTAGGAATAAATTAGCACTAAAGGACAGGGTCAAAGTCTTGCATGTTATTGTGTGTGGGCTCCACGCACATGCTACGTCAACATATAATGAAAAAGTTAACAGTTCATTAATAATGAAGTTTTTTGTTCCTTAAAAAATAGTTTAGAGATAAAATTATTCCAACTAAAAGTATAGGGTGCCCAACACTCTTAAAAAATAAGTACAAAAATAAAATTAAATCTTAACCCTATAATTAAATGAGTTTGGTGAACAAATAACTAGGCCACCAAGTTTTTTACAAATAACTTCCACCAAGCTTTTTAGATAGTGCCAAGAGTCAAGAAATCAAATTCTCCCTTGACTACCTTTAATTTACTAATAGGTTAAGGTATAATTTTTTCTCTAAACTATCTTCAGAGAAACAATGTTACCTTTAAACTATTTATCGAAACAATATTGCCCCTAAATTAATTAAATCGGAGCAATGTTACCCCCACCTTTTAAACGTCTATTACCGTAGCTAGTAGGACCCACTTTTCATAAGTTAAGATGTAATTTTTTCTCTAAACTATTCCTAAAGGAGCAATATTGCCCTCACATTTTAAAAATCATAAATTTGAATAAAAATAAAATTAAAATAATATTAAATAAAATAATACTAAATGTATATATAAATATAAATTTATAATAAATAAAATATAAATGTATATATAAAATAAATATAAGAGAAATATAAATTATAATTTTATACTTTATCAAATATAAATGAATATTGATTAAATTAGATATTAGTAGACTCAAAACTATTTTTATTTACAATTATAACTATCGATATCTGTATAAAAAATGATCTCAAATCATATTTTATACATGTGAATTATTTAAAAATAAAGTTAGCTTTTAGTAGGATTTAATTTTTAATTTTTTTTATTTTTTAAAAAATTAAAATTTTTTAATATTATGTTTAAAACCATCTAGTTTTCTAAAAACAGCTACGGTTCTCAATTCAACTTTAGTTTTTTGCTTAATAGTAGCTTAACTCTTGGTCAATTCAGCTTAATCATGAAAATAGTTTTTTGGTTCAAATCTAGCGTTAATGATGACTCCGATCGATAATTATAGGGTACAAATATAGATACTTTTAAGTCTACTCATATTAACTTAACCAAGATTCACTTATATTTGATAAGTTATAAAATTATAATTTATAATCTTATTAATTTATGATATTTTATTAACATACTATAAATTTTTTTCTTATGTTTATTATATATATATATTTAATATAATCTTATTTAATTTTATTATAATTTTATAATTTTTAAATAGTAAGGGTAATATTGCTTTTTTGATAATAGTTTAAGGGCAAAATTATATCTTAACTCATGAAAAGTGGATTTCATTAACTATAGTAACGGACGTTTAAATGGCGAGAACAACATTGTTTCGATTTAATTACTTTAAAGACAATATTGCTCCTTTGAGAATAGCTTAAGGGTAGAATTGTACCTTACTCCTTTGCCAATTATCACCCTTAATTAAAAGTGTCATCAGCATTAGAGCTCTGGTGACTCACCAGCGATAAGGGCTCTAACAACCTCATCTCTAGCAAGGGCTCGAATAGTGAGGGTGTTTTTTTTTATTATTTTAAACTTTAAGAATAATTTGGTCATTTTAAGTAAAAAAATTAATATCAATCAAGAACTAAAGGATTGTAGTATAATTTTAAAATTTATTAATTCTTAACTGATATAAATTTTCCTCAATGATATTTGGTTGATATTTTTTCATTAATTTATCATATAAAATGATGCAAATGGCATTGGACTTTCACTTGACTAATATTGATAGACCATCAAGCTGATGCTGAATAGTAAAAAAGTACTTTTAATAAAATATTAACACTTAATATTTGCAAGTTAAATATTATTAAAGTTGGTAATTTATGTGAGAAAAATTTTAGGCTAAGCCCAATTAGGTTTGAACTTCACCCAAGCACCTAAATAACACTTTGAATTTTTTTTAATACTCTCTCTATTAAAAAATATGAGGTATTTTTAATTAAATCTCACCTTTTAATAAAGTAATTAATTATTTTTAAACTAACCATATCTTTTCATATCTACTCTTATTTAATAGGATGTTTAACCCTAAAATACATATAAAGTAATTTATTTAGTATAGACATTTTTTTAATTACACTTTAAAAGATTAAAAATTTCTTACATATTTTAATATCTAACTCCTCAAAAAATATCTTATATTTTTTAATAGATGAAGTATTTAATGTATTAAATAATTACTTATTTAAGTTTTCATTCATTTTATACTAAGAGACCAAGTGTTTGAGTATAACAAAGTATATTGTTATATACATTTTTCAAAAAAAAATTAATATTTTTATATTTTTATTATTTCTAACATATAAAATATCTTAAAATAATATTTAAAATATACTTTAATATTAATTTTAAACTTTAAAATCAAAAATTTTTTTAAAAAAATGAGTTTTTCACATTTTTAAATATCCAAAAAATATATGTTTTGATGATAAAAATTAATTTAAAATTAAAAAATTAAAATTTATTTTTAAAAGTTAAAAAATTAACAATTCAAGTTGCCCAAATAAGCACAATACCCAAATGTTATGGTCAAGCTTGGTTGTATAAATTTTTTTATAAAGTCGGATTGGCCTCAATTGAGTCTAGCTTACCTCCGTAAATATCACATATTAACTAGTAAATATTCAAGGTTCACAAATAAAACTTCTTGCATTTACAAGCAAACCTCTTGTAATGTTAATACTTTAATATTTACAAATCAAAGTTCTAACTTATAAATTAAGATATTTAACTTGTAAATATGTGAAATTTAACTTTTTGATCTACGAGCTTGAATCATAAATATTAACCTATTAATATTATAAGATGTCAATTTATAAATGTAAAAAATTTGAGTTGTAAATCTTGAATATTTACCTATAAATATTAAAATACAAATTATTTAATAAACAATTTCAACAAAATTATTTCTTGATTACTCAACAGCGGTCGGCCTTCAATCAACTATTGCTAGTTAA